TGCTTGTTGTGCTCCGGGTGACTGGCTCTGGGCTGGGGTCAAACAACAGGAGTGGGGGAGGCGGTGGGTCGATAGGTTTGAGTTCACTTCAGAAAAGATGTGGACAGACGTAACAAATGAGTCACTGAGCTGTGCAGCTAAAGTACTCGTCAGACACCCGCCCGCCGCGTTACGGCCACTTGCGCAAGCTCATGAGCTCTAATGCGGGAGGGAAAACTGCCTTTGTGAAGATAACAATGTTGATCGACTATGAAATGATCAAAAGACAATACGTGAAGGTAGAATCAGTCAATTCCGTGTAGGTTGCAACAAGCCGTGCAGAGAAAATATGCACAAAATTTCAAACCGTTTATACGTCGGTGCAACTCATTCGACAAGCATCAGAGGGTTCAGTCAAATTTTTTATTTTACATTTTATTCTATTTTGTTTTACTTCATTTCGGTTGACCTTATTTTACTACTGTGTATCCGTTTTGTTTTTTTTTTGTTGTTTGGGTTTTTTTTTTTTTTTTAACGACAGCAAAGAACATCCTCCGCACAGTGTGATGAGTTGTTAATTTCTTATTTGAAAAAGATTGGGGAAATTCAGGGACACAGTTTTGCTCAGGTTTACCTTTTCCTAAATAATGGTCCAAAAGAAAGGGACACGTGTTTTTTTTTTTTTTTAATTTGCTACAATCTCTGGTCAGCCGCATGACATCTGTCGCTGATGTTTCGTACGATCATTCTGATGCTATTGGCCTATTTCACGGTTTCAAGCTTTTCCCCACGACCCACCGAAAGGTGCACCATTCTGCCCGAAACGCTGAAAATGTGGTGGCGACATAGACAGTTCTCGGGACGGTTTCAAACTCCTCCCTGTTCCCGTCGAGCCACACATTTGCGTAACACAAAGTTCCATTTGACTGGACTCACAGATTTTGGATCACTTCAGGGCATAAAATGCAAATTTCAGGGTGTCGGAAAGATTATTTGGATCGCTTTCAAATGTCCAAAATGAGTCAAATTGGACCCAAACAGAATGTCAAGGGCTTTTCACGAAAATAACTCTTAGAGCGGTACCACTGGTAAACTTTTCAACCCTAACTTGACGGTGTCGTGCTGTCGAGGGTCAGCGAGAGTTGAGTACAAACAAAGTCCATCGATAATGTGACCCGTTTCACTTTCTCCATCCGTAAGCAAAAATTCCTTTGAAGCATTTCCCCTTTTTTTTTTTTTTGTGGGGGGCTAAAACAAGAGCTCCATTTGTTTTCATTTGTTGCGATCGATTTCCTCAATAGTCACAAAGCTGTCTGCTGTCTGTCGAATGACGTCATGAATGGCGTGGGCCTGCCGTGAGTCTGCCATCCCGGCGGCCTTTCTCTTCCTCTTTTTAAGGCATCTCAGACAATGGCGCACATTCCCTCGCACGCATTTGTCGTACAGTCGCACACGTCATTTGTGACCATTGGTCTACCTGAGTGGTTATGCGCACCCCTTTTTCATCACGTCAAACGGTATGACAGTTGTGTGTTTAATTGAGGGCTTCCAGACGATCACATTCATGTATGTACGCCTCACTGCGACAAGGATATATTTACTCCTCAGGTATTTATTTGAGTGGCAGCATCAGTTAGCGTTGACGGATGGGCTGATAAGTCAAAAGAAAGAGCTTCAATCTGGGAACAAATATAAGCGGCGTTTATGTTCTGTTCCGATCTCGGATTTCATCAACGTGTGTTAAAGCACTTCTTTGGACGGCTTCTATTTTCGACGATGTCGGTGCCGTAGCCCAGCGACATATAGGCAAGACGATGTCTTGATTTCAACCATCATCACATCAATTCATGACTGAAGTTTGTTTGAAATTGGTATTTTGTTTTTCCTTTTTGTTTTTAAATTGACCTGGCTTTTCAATTTAAATTAGCCTCAGGCATGAGCTAGCCCATTGTTTTGCAACCGTCAAGCTCGAATCATTCCGTTTCATTTTGTTTCTACTATAACAGACATACATACCAGGCCAAATGATTTAAAATATGACGGTTTTTCATGGAGTAGAAAGAGCCGCCATGCCTTCTTGGCCAACCATGACCCATTGTTAAAATAGCAACACTGGAACACCAGGTCAGGCCACAACGGCTGAAACGTCAATGGGTTTCAAATAAGCTTCGAAGGAGTGCCAGATTGCACAATTTCTGACTTATTTGGTTGAACGTATTTACTCAGGATCTTGATCTACTGTATACTGTGCCCGACCATACCACGCGACGCATTTCTAAAACTAAACCCATCGCACAATGTACTGCACCAGATCAACCCTTAAACCTACACATACCGTATACTAAACATTTCTTTGTTTTTGTTTTTGACAAAATACAACTGTTTTGAAAATATCAAACGAGACAGCCAAACGGGCAGGCTCCTAAAAGACGACATTCAAGGGGAGAAAAAAAAAAGGTAATTGGGGCAGAAAGACAACTAAGGAGAGACAGTTAATCCTTAGAGTAAATATTTAACAAGCTCAACAATTGCAGTGAAGGCCTGGGCCTAACATGGAAGAGGAGGGAATTTCAGTCGCCCGACACACACACACACACACACACACACACACACACACGCACACACACACGCACATACACACGCACACACACACACACACACACACACACACACACACACACACACACACACACACACACACGTTTTTAAGGGTTTATGAAAAAATAGCTCGGGGATATTTTTGTCTATTCCCTTTATAGAAACGTAGGATTTTTTCCCCTTTTTTTTAAAAGCAAGCAAATATTACCACAAAGGAAATGGAAAGTGACATTTATTGCATGGGTAATGGGGGTGGGGGGGGGGGGTAGTGTGTTTGTATTGTTGATGCCAAGGGTTAATTATTATTGTCAGTCTGATGCACACCATTTATAGGAAAACTCTTAAAAAAGGCACATCTTGTGCTCAGACCAAAGTCTCTCAAATCTGTGCTTCGCCACATAACAACTTCACAAAGTCCCTCCAGTGGACATAAACCAGAAGTACATGAGCGTCAGTGAAATCAAATTTGATTCGGTCCTCATATTGGTGAGCAAATAAGAAGCGCGAGGAATATCACCGGCGCCACAATGTGATTGTTGTTGTCAAATATAGAAGGACGCGCGCTCCGTGCCGAGTATATCCAAAGGTCAGTGGAGAAACAACTCCAAGGAGAGGGCGGCCGGCGCACGTTGCAGATTTATAATGAAGCAAAGGCCTCGGTTCCAGTCCAACTAATTATTTTCATTAGTGGAGCATCAAACGACAAGTGAGCCGGTCAACCGGCGCCGCTGATAAGATTTCTGACAGAAGTAGAGCAACTCAACAGAGAGCCCTTGATGAGCGTTCAAAGCCAAGCTCCTAAAATGAGTCCAGATCTTCGATGTGACATGCAGGCATGTGGCGTGCATGCAAGAATCCGCAAAGGCTCCACAACAAGAGCAAAACCGGACCCTCCGTCACTTTCGACAGCTTGCCACCGCACCTCTCGTCACTTTCGCACACTCCACTGAGCTGTCATTTTCCGAGCCTTCCCTTCACGACACCGTCAACACCTCCCGTCGCGGCTCTTCCCCCGAGGCGATGCTTGTCGTCTTTACCTCTGCGTGAGCTGTCGCCCCGGAAAGGCACATTTAATAAGTCCGATTAGCACCTGTACTGCAACTTTGCGTGATGGCTAAGCTAAATGAGTAGAACGGGTGGGTGAGCAGGGTGGACGTTTGTGTGAAAACTGCGCTGCCTGCCACTCCCACTCAGTGGATGTTGCGGAAAAATAAGCACAAATAAATCAGTTCAGTTAAGTCCAAGCTAAGGGTTCCTTAAAATGTCTAAAAACCAACCCTAAAACGTGCATCATAAACTTGAAATTCACTTTTGTCTTTGATAGTGTTGTTCTTTCAAACTGCAACAACAGAATTGCTCCAGTTGCTCGCCGACTCCTCTCAAGCAAGGTGAAAAGACAACCTCACTATTGTTTCCTTCGAAGAAAAGATGTTTCTGTGCTTCAAAGGCATTCCAAACCTATTTAAAAGTGGATTTCCGAGCGCGGAAAGGGCGGGAAAGCAAGCGCGGGCCTGAAAATAACGTTTTCATTACACCGCCGGCCTACAAAACCCAAAGGGAAGATGGGGATTTGGGGTCGGTTTCCTGGCAGATCAGAGCTCATCGTGTTACTGTCAGTCACATCCTATAGAAATCATCTGCACTTGTCTGATCCCCCATCGAGAGTCATGCCGAATGAAATGGCGACGCAGGAAGGCCGCGCAGGAAATTAATCATACCAAACTTAATTGCTTCTTCCTTTCAACACTCGCAAGGCTGATCGAGGCCTAAAGCAAATAGTCATTAAAACAAAAAGACATTCGCATTCAGGTGTGTAGCTATCCGATGATAACCTCCATAGCGCATTTAAGTATTTGACAAACACTCCAACAAAAGTTGGCTTTCTATATTGCCCTTGAGAAATGATAACAAAAAAAAAAAAAAAAATTCGTTCTTAAATTCAGACCATCCACCAAATGATTGAGACGTGACTTGATCTCGTAATAATGGCAAAAACTGGAAGAAAAGTCACTTTTCTCAAGCGATATGCATTGTGGACCACATATTCTGTGGCCTCCTGGATTGTTTTGCATGATTTTTAATTGCCGGAAATGTCGCGGGCCGTATGAAATATGACAACAGTGCACCTTTATTTAAGAAAGAAAAGGCTTTTGAAATCTTGAATCACTCTAACTAAAAACATGTGCGAGCAAACAGCATCAATGGTAAAGGCATCTTAAAATGGAGTGTGCGCTTTCTATATGTGCTCTCCTGATTGGTTGAGCAAACTCCTTCAGTTTAGGCGGACAGATTTTGCCCCCCAAAATGTCCTCAAAAACATATGGAACATTGTGCGCTCATTATGCTACTTGCTGTGTGTCTAAAACCCGCTGTGTTCTTTGAGCTAGACACGCACAAGTCCTTGCAAGTGTCATCCCCTTTACCTTGGAAGAAACTCTTGACGCGGAGGTAGGAAACTGCAAGGCGCAGCACAGACAGTTTGTCCAGTTTGGAGATGACATCCGGCGGGAACGGCAGCAGGCTGGCCAGCCGGTCCAACTCGGCATTCAGCCTGTCCCGGTGCCGCTTGGACGGGTTCGTTTTCTCATTAGCAGACGACGGCTTCCTGGTGAGGTGAGCCGCACATGCACGGGGAGTCAGTCAAAGATTTGGAAATGAAGTCACGGCAAAAAATATTTTTGGAGCTTTTCACCCATTCCAACGTGTCACTCGTGTTGTGTGTATGTGTGTGTGTGTGTGTGGTTTTTTTTTTCTCACAAACTTGCCTAGACTTGGAAACATGGTGACAAGCGGTCAGAAACGGTTTGTGCACGCAACTGTTTTGGGCAAAGCTAGTTTCAAATCATACAATAACAACATGACATTTTGACTTTTTTTTTTTCTTTTTCATAAAGCTGACACTTTTAGCTGTCCGAGCACTGATGATCTTGCTCTACAAGATAAAATGATCAATTATTAGAAGCACTGGCATGTTTTGAAAGGTTGGCCATAAATTGATGGAACAAAAAAACTTCTTTTTTTTTTTTTAAATATGAGTTGTTGTTTTTGGCAGAGACACATGATCATCTCTGCAAATGCTCCTGCCTTCGAACTTTTCCTGCAGCCTTTCTCAGTGCACCACACAAAACTGTTTTGTTCTTCCTCCAATAACAGCAAATGTCTTTACAGAAAAAAAAATGATTTAAGAACTACAATATGGTTGTCCTGAATGGCATGAATTATATATTTGTAATGACTGGGGCTTTTTTTTTTCCTTAGTTCAACTCAACAACCCTACAGACAACAATTTTTTGGTGTTTTATTTTGTTAGCGTACTGGTGCATGCAATTTTTTTTATCCATTGCATTTATGTCGACGTGCAAGATAACTAAGTTACTGCTTAAACGTTTAACTAAATAATACTGAATTATGCCATTCGACTCAGGGTTGATATATACTTTCGATAAATGAAACAAAAAATAATAATAATTGATGGCATATGATACGTCACTGGAGGATTTTGCTTGATTATTAAAACACCTTAAAAATGTGGTGCATGAAACTGTATCATTGTATTCCTTTTTTTGTCACCTTTTGATGACAATTTCTGAAAATTGCATGCTTTACAGATTTAATAGTTATGAAAGGAGCAGACATGTTTGGGTGGTGGCTGTGGGGGGGTCATATGTTGTATATATTATAAAGTGTCAACACCACGATACACACACAGAACCTCTTGAGCCTGCAGCTACAAAACAAGTACATTCAAAGACAAGAACATACAAATTACATGCAGGCGAAAAAAAGTCATGCGATCTGCAAACAGACATGAAAGCTGAAGCAGAATACCACATTTGCTTGCATCTTATATAGTCAAATGCATTCGTGCTGTTTGGCTGACATGGGTCGAAATGTCATCATAGCTGCAACGTGTGTATAAGACCATTGATGTGTCACTCAATTGCAAGCCTCCTAATCAAGCGAGCATCCACCAATGCGCGTGTTTTGTTTTTTTTTTCAAAATTATAAAATATGATTCTTAACTGCTTTTGGACGGGCTTCCTCCGCTTCCTGCCCGCGTACATGCAGTCTCCAGGAGGGATCATGATCTTGCGCTCCGTGGAGATAACAGGTGCGCTGTGGAAGGAGACACATACATACAAAAACCCACGGGGGGACTTTTCAACCTTCCATGTGGCTGCCAGTTTGTTTTGAGACTCACAGCATGAGAGAAAAGTTGGGTTCAAACACTTTCAAACTCAAGTGGCTTATTTAGACACTATCTGCAGTGAACTACCGAAGAACGGAGTTTAGGTAAATAACATACCAACTACTCATTAGTTCGAAATGGAAAGTTGCGGCATAACAAGTCAGAAAAGCAAAATAACATATTAATAACCTCAATAAAGCTGATTAGAAATAAAGTGCAACTCACCCAGACACGCTGTGGTTGTCAGTTAAGTCCAGTATAGTATTGCAGTGGAGTCACATTAAGCACAAAAAAAGAGAGATGCGTCCCGGGGCCGGGGGGTGTACCCACCCAAGAGTGGCAAGTGATAAATCCACGGGAAAATCAAATCAATCGAAAAGCTCCGAGCTGATGTTTTCGTCAGCTTTGTACTGCTCGCGGCAGATGTTGCCTGATGCTTTATACCCAATTGAGTCGCCTTCACTTCCTCGCCCTTCAGGTGGCGGATTCCTCTGAATGACATGTCGAGCTCTTCGCACGCAACTCCGCCTCACAAACAGAGCGCGCGCACACACGCACGCACACACACAGACGCTCATAAGCATACTAGCTTCACGAGGTTTATGCTGCTTTCAGGTGATGTCCGCATATTGGAAAAAATACTATACAGTGCCGTGCTTGTTGATTTTGAGTCCAATTTGTGACACATTAACTTCAATGCCTCAGTAAAACACTGAGAGTTTTTACGTTTAAAACACCTTGAATGAACATGGGGGAAACGTAACATAACAAGTCAAGTTTTATCTCAGCTTTTTCCATTGAACTTCAGTGACATTACAGCACTCCAAAAATGGCAAATAAAAATTATATGATGTATTGTTAAGGACATTTTTGATGATAAATCACTCGTTTTATCTTGAAATCCTAACCATCTAAGGATAGTTTGGGTTTTAACTGGATTCACGTGAAGCGGGCATCAGCCCAAACCGACCCAGACGCTGTACGCACGCGCGTACGCAAACGGAGAGCAGCTTTAGGGGAGGGGTCACACGCTAGGGGCAGTCCAGTCGTTAACGTGCACATTCAAACTAGGGACTGTCTGCGGTCGGGAATGCCAGTTACGAGAAGGAAGATTTTTCTGCCGCTGCGAAACTGGTTTTACGAGGAAATTCAGTATGCACGTACGCGATCCTTTGCCGAAATGGACTTATGTTGTCGAATTAATTTGATCTGCAGGGGATTTTTAAACGTTGGCTGGCGACACTCGGAAGTCAGGTTTTAGTAACTCGTCAAATTCAATGAAGAGGGGAGCATGGGACGGAAGCTACATTATTAGCCTTCAAAACAAGAGCAAGATGGAGAAAATACACTGAATAGTTTTGTTTGTCGAGGAAACGTTCTCGCCACTGACTATTACTACCGTTGTTGGCCATGATATTTGAACATTGATGATTCCAATAGAATATATTTGACCAATTTCACGTTCATCCGATGATTTAGTCTTGGCGTGTCAACATTTACAGGAAATACAGTTTTCGCCCATCCCTTTTGCGCCTTGACCACAATTGTATTTTTTAAATAATATTTTAAAAACTGTTTTATATTTTATGATTTAACTCTCAGGCCTTGTTCGGTGTTTCTCCCCTTTTAACTAACTCGTGAGCAATTTTAAGATTTGTTAATGATTTTCGCTTCTTTTACTACTTGGGAATATTCTAAAATATTCCGATTATTCAAACATTCATTTCACATAATTTTGCTTCATATTCCAATTTGTTTGCACAACGTACAGGGTATAAGGCAAACTGAAAAAATGAATATTCTTTTTAAAATTCTAAGTACAGTCCCATTTCTTAAATTACTTTGTTAATACGACAGTCCTTACAGTCAGCAAAGGAAGCTTCTACTTCTTAAATTAAAAGTACATTTTTCTCCATGCTCAGCAGAGGGTATCTCCATTTACTAAAATCAAAATTGCGTCATTCCTTTGCTCCGTTGATGTGTTGTTAACGATCTGTTATAAAAGTGTCCACGATAGAGCAAAAAAGGTGGCTTGTCATTAACAGCATATTTTTGAGTTAGAAATTATGCAATCAGAGAAAAATGCACACTTTGGAAGTTGCATTAAATTTACACTCGCAGCTATTATCTTCAAAGCGTGCCACTGAAATCTCTCGGACCTTGCAAATTCAGGGGAAAAACATTTAAATTGACAGTGTACTACACTGCCCTCTGCTGTCCTGATGTGTATTCCACGACAACACATGCAAAGAGACGTCAATGATGACAATGATGACAGACAGATGTCGTTTGACTCTTGGCATCCACGCTTCATCAGTTGAATGCCTTGATAGAATGAGAAACTACATCAGGACGTGACGGGACAGGTGTGAACATGCTGGCATCTGTGATGGAGAGCGCACCTATGCGCTACGCTGCAAGCAAAGTGTGGCTCCCGTTGCCACCGAGAAAAGTAAAAATACATCTTAACACGATCATTGGCTTTTTAAAGCGAGAGGGATGCTTTGGTATCAATATAAATCCCCTGGCACTGCCATCCAAGATGCCATCTCGAGCAGACGACGCCCTGCCGACGCTACTTGGATCCACCTTTGCATGCAACTGCGTGTGAGTGCACAGGGGACAATGGACAAAGATAGCTCACACACTGGTCAGAGCAAATTCAACAGCAATAAAATTACCCTTAAATGTACTTCCTTCCCTCTGAAATGAAGACACGGAAATGAAAATATCTCAAAATGTGATTCCTTTGTGCAGGTGCTACAATGTTTCAACATGAGTGGAAACAGAGAAACAGCAAATACTGCAAAGATGCCTTAAGCAATCCCTGGCGGCAACTTGACTCTCTGTTCTAAGGAGGGATGTTGACAGTGAAATGAGGTGAGGTGAAATGAGCCAGCAACTGTTTATGCTAACAATATGCTGGCCTGAGACAAATGTGCTCAGTGGGTGTTGGACACAGCTGCTAATAACCAACTTTCATGGATGCGTACAAGTGTTGACAGCGTGGCGGGAAACAAGTCACAAGTCTTCTGGGATACTCACACACACAATGCAGGAAAGCCACTGCCCAAGATCAGGCTCATGTGACCCCAAAAATGTTGTGAGTGTTGCATAGCCAGGGGCAAAATGAATTTCAAAAGACAGTTTTTTAATATATTCCAAGTACATTCAGTTTCGGAGAAAGTTTGAATGAGAGGCCCCCTGGAAAATGTTACTTATATTTAGACTCTAGCTCTAAAATACACAAAAAAAAATAATAAAAATATGAAAGCACCTTCATGTTTATTTAATTCACAACTGAACTGTCTGTTACCAAAGAACTCCATCATGACAGAAAATACTCATACAAGCATCCCAGTACCGGTATATCTTTTTCTCCTCCTCCCTTTATTGTCCTCACAATTGCACTTTTTTTTTTTGTCACGGTTTTGCCATTGAAAACTTCCTGACAAACTTAGAACCTGCTGTGTCTATCACATTTTCTCAGTCAGTATATTTGTACCGGGACTTGTTTTTACATTCTGTAGTAACTGTGCCACACCTTCGCCGCTTGAGTGTCCATAGACGTAGGGGTCAACGGGATTTGAGGATTAATTTCAGTGGTTTACAGTCCATTTCAGAGTTACCTCTTACTGGAGGAACGAACCTGGTGCCTCATCCAGTTAGCTGGAGCTGAAGTGGAAAAATGGGGTTAAAACAGTCATTACCGGGTCATAGCCGATTCATTTCCTTGTTCCTACTATCATGTAAATTCATTCATTGCTCGAACGTTATTGCTTTTATGAGAGAAAAAAAACTGCAAATAGGTGAGTTTCTCTGTTACCAAGGATATGTAAAAAAAAAAAAAATGTAACTATGGTGATGCGAATTCTACTGAAATTCGGCAAGGTTCACTGTAGTAATGTCATAATGAAATATTTGGATTGAAACCACTTCTTGGCCAAAAATATACAATATTAAAATTAAAAACAATAATGACATGGTGGTCGTGGCTCAAAGGCTTCTTCACGAGGTCTGAATCCCCGCAATCCATTTGTCAATTCATCACTATTGAGCAAGACAAGAAAGATGAACATTCCCTCAAATGACGAAATCTTTCAGGGAGGAAACACTCACAGCGCGGCTCTCCAGGCGGTCTCGGGTTACTGGCACTGCTGCCAAAGGATGATTGGAAGTTGTGAATGGTTTCTTGCAGGATTTGCCTTTCTCTGCCCTGAACGAGGCACACAAGTTTGATTTACGCACTCTCAGGAAAGGATGATGACATCTTTTGTCCAACTGCAATGATCCATCACGTGTGAAAACGTTTTTCTTATAATTTGGTGTGAGAGGAGATTGAACGGCAAACGATTTTCCGTTGAACTCATTTGTGTACCTTCCCAGCGTTAAGCTCTGATATGGCCGCCAAGATCTGTTGTCTCGGTCCATCCGTTTTGATGCCAAGTTCTCTCAGGTCTCCATCAGTTAGTGTCAAAAAAGCTTCCATATCCACCTAATGAATGACAAGGAAAAACGGAAAAAATTCCCGGCCGGTCGGATAAGCGTATCTGCAACTATGGCCTTTTTACGCACAGCAATTTAACGTCGCCAAGCATGTTTTTGTCATTACAACTTAACCCTTACGTTCTGCTTTGGTCAAAATAAGCAAAACGATTGTGTGCGTGGTAAATGAACAGTATGCAAGGGTTAAGACTAAAATCTTTGCATTGGGCAAACATTTTAAGTAAGTGTAGAAGAAAGGAATAAGTACCTCCTGTTCCTCAAAAATGGGCTGATATTTTTCCAAGGACAGTTTCTTTAAGATACTTGATAGCTCATCTGAAAAATCCAAACGATAACAAAGTAGACGTTTATTTCATGCTTTCACGTCATGTCGACGATGTTTCATTACCTTCATCCGTAATGGTTCCGCTGCTGGAGCCGCCGCTGCTCTTCGAGCGAGGATGGGAAGAAGCCGAGGACAAAGAATCTTGCCCACCAGGAGGCTTAGGGGTGGGCGAAGGAGACGGGGTCAGAGTGGGCGATGTGCTCTTAGAGGTGGATGAATTTCCAGACTGAGGCCTCCTCTTCAAATCCATCTTCTGAAAGGAATGAAGAATGTTTTGTTAGTTATAATGGGTGCATCTACCCCGAATTAGAAAACAAAAGGCAGTGTACGACTGAGTAGCAAAACGTGAGTGACTACCACTGACCTGAACTAAAATAATGGCAACGTTGCATTTGGGGTCTTCTATTTCACAAATCTATACGACTGATCAGTCCTCACGTCGGTCTGATATACTAACTCGTTCTGTCTGGGTCCAATGATATCGAAGGCTTTGTTTACACTTTAACCAACTCGCTACACAAATAAAACGGGATTCTGACCCTTCTTGAGGAGATGTCAGAGGTCAGCAGATTGGGGTGTGAGGAGGTGTCAGGGAGGCTGGGATCAGGTGCTGGCATGCCGGCGGTGGCGGAAGGAGTTGGACTTAGAGTTTGACTGTGCCGTTTCTCAGGAGGTTGAGTCTTCACATCAATCAAGCCGGCAGCCTTCTTCCGCTGGGCCGCTATCTGGGCGAGAACACCGTCTGCACTGCCCCCTAGTGGAAAAAAATGTGAATACTCCATTGTGAAAGATACAAAATATGAGTTGCGTGGATATGTCAATGTCCTTAATTTCCAGCTTGAGGTGTATCAGTACGCCGTTTGTCCTCACGAGTAAGACAATTCAGCAAAGTAGTCGCACGACTAATTTAATACTCCGTGGACCGTAATTTGGATATCAAGGATGTCGAATACACAAACAGCTTTCCGTAGCGATGCGTTTCTGTGACCATGTGAACCTGAGCGGTTGTGCGTGTCCCGATTGAGCCCTGCCACGCCATTGGAACCCCCAGAGGAGTGAGGCGAGTGGTAGTGGCCAGAATTGGAAGGAGATGAGGACGAGGGCCCTTTGGGAATGCCGGGAAACTTCATGGACCTGCTCACCACTCTACTGATTGATGTCTAGATCAATAGAGAGGGGAAAAAAAACAAGCAATAAAGGATTTGAGCAGATAAAAACTCCTTATCTTTCTCGCATAATAACACTCACAATATCAGAGTTGCCGCTGCTGTTCAACTTTCTCTGTGGAGGCATAGGAAGCCGGGATGCTTCGCCTTTTCCCTCCCTGAGGAGGTGCGAGCGGTCCGAGTTCCATGATTCGAAGTTGGATGGGGGCAGGAAGGGCGGGATCACTGCCTTCAGCTTGTCATTAGGTAGCCGGGCCAGGGGAGCGCCACTCCGAAGCTGAATGCGAAAAGCACAATGTCGGGAGCACTGAAAAAATGCAGACCTCTTATCCCAAATATGATGAAATTATTAACGCGCTCACTGCAACCAAATTGAATTCGGCACATTCTTCTAATTCTCATGCCATTTTTCATATCGAGCACCTTCATGTACTATAAACCCTCAGTATGATTTCCTGAAAGAAAATATTCCTACCATTGTGGTAATTAGCATGTCCTCCTTTTCTGACGACGCCCTGCAGAGACCTGAGGAGGAAAGCGACACCACATTTACATGAGAATATCATTTTACGGATGCTTTTTGGTGACTCTGGCCTCTCGACTCTCACTCCTACATTTCTGTGGCTTACCTGTGTCTTTGCTTTTGACTGCCCAGACGGCGCCGATGTCACTTCCTCCCTGGGCACCAGTGGGGGCCACAACAGCGTTGACGGAACCAGCAGGTTTTGCATCAGCTTTCATCGTGGCGTCCAAAGACGTCTCCGCGTCGTCAGGGAATGGAGCCAGTCGATTGGACAAAAGGCCGTGCCTCAGGGTGTGAGTCAGCTTCAGCCGCCGGAACCGATTTGACATCCTATTCCACCAGGACTGGAGATGGTGTTGCAGCCCAGCATGTCCATTTGTGGGGTGTGTTCATTATTTAACTCATTCATCTTTGCGGTTTCGAATTTGCAAATTCAAAGATCTTTTTATTATAAATGCCATTAATCCCCCCCCCCCCCCCGAAAAAAATCACCACAAAATGTTTTGGATGGCAAGGCACCACTGTACTGCCATCATAGGGAGTATTTATAATTGATTTAATGGCATATGAGAGCAACTAAATGGCAATGACCAAAAAATATATATATATTTTAAAAAAACCTCACCTTGAGGCCTCCTTTGTCATCAGGTGGCACAGGAGCATTGTTGAGGGCAAGCCTGCCTTTGGAATGACCGACGGAATTCCTGCCACGGTGTTTGGACCTCTCCTTATCCACTTGCATACACACCGATGCTAACAGACGCACCAGCTCGGTGTCTGACAAAACAAACCCAAGATAAAAACAATGAACGGTAATCTGTAATTCAAGCACAAACTCAAAAATGTGTGTGTGTGGGTGGGGAACAGTAATTTCCTGAAAAAATAAAATACAAAGACATAGTAATAACATTTCATATTAAGTATACTGCTGTAGAGTAAGTACGACTATTGTAAATTCACACTGAAAGACAGCCTGAAGCAGTCTGAAGATGACCTATTCTGTATGATTGCATACACAACAATAAAATCATGTTGTTGCTTTCAGTCAAAAAAAAAAATCAATGTTAATTGCATTACTTAATCCATAGCCGTGGATACCTGGATCATTCAGCAGCATGACCAAATCAAAAGCTGTGTATCCATTCTTTGCTCGAAGGTTGACATCAGCCCCTTGAGTCAAAAGGTATTTGACAACATCTTTATTTCTGAATGTGGAATGTGGGAGAAAAAAAAACATAATCCGACATCATCAAAAAAAAAAAGTTTTCCATTGTGATTTTATAATTAACCATAGACAGACATCATCCTCACTCATATTGTGAAATTTGGAGTGGCTCCTGCTCACCCGTGATACGTGGCCTGCATCAAGGCCGTCCACCCGTGGACTCCATCTTGTTTGTTGACGTCGGCCTTCTTGTCCACCATGAGGTGCACAACTTCTAACTGGCCGCTCACTGCCGCCATCATCAGTGGCGACGCTCCCTCCTGATTGGAGGAATTCACCTGAGTGGGATCTTCTTCCAAAATTTCTTTGACTAGCTGGGAATTTCCTGAGCATAGACACAGGGGGAAAAAAAAACAACTTCTAAACAATCCGTAAACGTATATTTAGAAAGGTAATCACTTCAACATACCCAGTTTGAGGGCGCTGAACACGTCTGGCCTTCGTCTTTCATCATCTGGGAAGAAACAATCAAGACTAAGGTGAGATGCCTTGTATGTGCACATGTGCAGCACTTGAAAAAATACTTTCCAAAACTGGGGTATTTTGAAACCATGAAAACAAACATTTTCAAGACTTTCCAGTTCCCTTCCAAACCTTGGGTGTTATGAATCACCAACGGCATACATTCCCCTGGTGAAATACTAAACCACTGATGCAGAGAAGCACCAAAGCGGTTGAACGTACTGGGGAAGCGTTTCCCACCTTTGCTTTCGCTTTCACGTAAGCGTTAACTGCCGTAAAGGCCGATCTCGGCAACACGCAAAAAGAAGGGAACAATGACAGCGCTCCTGCAGTACAATGCTTTGTGTTTATGTGACGTATGCCGTTCGTTGCACAACTCTCTTCCCCTAAGCCGTCATGGGGGCTATAAAGGACCATGTGAAAAAAATGTAGATATATATTTTAAATATACTGTAGTGGGGTTTTTTTTAACATGACAACCCCACTCTACAAAATGTAGTTAATGGAAATGAATGGTGCAATTTTGGAGTATCTGCAAAGAATACAACAGTATGATATCGAAAAACAAAAAATATTTTTAGAAGCTAACTTAAAACTACCAGCACGGCATGATGCTTGGAAAAAGAAAGGTCCAGAAAAAGAAGTCATACCAGTCTGTGGTCGTACAGTAGTGATGGAATCCAGGTAAGCCTTGATCTCTCTCTGTTTTAGCTGCATGGCGAGTTCAAATGCCGTCTTGGTCAACACATTAACCTGGTCCGGATCAGCGCCGCGCTCCACCAGCTGCTGGGCCACAGACACCTTGCGGAGAACACGACTCGATTTGTCATCGTTTCTTAAAACTCGAGCGCACTAAAAGTGCACGAAAGGCCCGACCTTCCCACTCAACACAGCCACCATCAGGGGACCCCAGCCGGTGGTCTTCTGTGCAAAACTGACGTCTGCGCCCCACTCCAGCAGCAGACGCACTGTGGCTTCGTGGCCGTGCTGAGACGCCACCATCAGTGCTGTAACATCCATGAAATCGCGCACGCCACCTCCTGCGCAGCCTTCGCCGGCTCCGAAACCGACCGCGCTGCGCAGGGAATGCATGCACAACATGAAACGTTCCACGACATATTTCTGCACATTTTGCGCAAATTACTGTTAGCTACAAGGTTTCTTCAAATAACTCAATCACCAATTAATCACACTCTACATAACTGTTCGAAATGTACAATAAAATATTTGTTTTTCAAGTTTTTCATACACTTGTTAATCAACATGAAAGTGAAAGAAATATTAATAATAATAATTTTGTGACTAGTGCACATCCATTTGACCGTGAGAGACGACAGAGTGGCCAAACCTGCAGCTGTTGTTGTTATTTCCATTGGAGACTGCCTCTGCAGCCGCTGCCAGATGATCAAAGTCGTCGACGAAGGCGTCGCTCTCCAGGAGAAGCTTCACGACATGCGTGTGTCCCCCACGCGCGGCCATAGTCAGGACACTTGCACCCAGCCTGTTCCGTCCATTCATGTCTGCCCCATTCTCCAGTAGGATATGGGCGACGGTCAGGTGACCAAATCTAAGGATGCAAAGAGACACAGAGGATAGATTACTGTTATAGTGTAAAACAATTGTAGATCTAAACCTTGCCTGTGCAAATGATAGATTACTATATATTGGGGGATGTTAGATGACTATTTTTTTCATACTGATACCAGTATGAGTGTTAACTCATTGAGTACTAATACTGTGTACCAAAACATGTATTACTTTTGAGAAAAATGTTCATTTCAGTTTTTTTTCGCTTATGTATCAGTGAATGGTATCGGAAGTCTCCAGGAGTACCCGATACCTTAAAATAAGGTTAGAATAGGCTTGATACCGAAGCCTATGTATCGGTAGTCGCCCATCCCTAGTGTATATGAATCATTTTGCAGTAACTGGAATTCTTGATTCAGATGTTGGATGTGTCAGCCCACCTGGCAGCCTGCATGAGGGGCGTCCAGCCATAATTGTTACGGCTGTCCACTGAGGCTCCCTTTCGAAGCAAAAAACGGACCAAGTTTTCATGACCGCTGGCCGAGGCAAACTGCAGGCCGGTGTTTCCCTCCTCGTCCGTGCAGTCCACCGGTACAAGAGACAACAACAAGTCTGCCGTGTTGCACTCCGAGCCCGCGTCCGAGCGCAGTCTGCTCTGCCTCCCAGAGTCTTTCGAGGCTCCGGGCTCCAGGATCCCCCGAGCCGTTTCGTAGTCCCCCTCATCGCAGGCACGTAGAAGAAGCAGCGAGTTCGCGGGGACGCCGAAGTTCATGTCCGCCTTCGTTAGTGTTAACCCGCCCTCATTCAACTTTTAGATTATCAGCAAGAAGAATTTCAATTTTTTCCTCTCTCACTCGGCCTGCGTTTGGACCGCATGATGCGCAGTCTTGTGTCGAAGCGGGACAGCAACAAACTTCAGAAATTTCTCTTCGTATTATTCGGTCATAAAAATACCCACAAGCTCTCGTTTTGTAGAAAACTGGTGACTTTGGTTTACCACCGGTTAACACTGCCCTGTTGCCCGTTACTTACTTGGTCAAGAATTGTCTGGCTCGCATCATTTACTCGAAGATTATTTCCGGTTTCATTTCAAAACAAAACAGACCTTTGAAACTTGCAATTGATCTTTTTGTTGCTGTTTTATCATCCATCCATCCATTTTCTGATTTGCTTATCCTCACAAGGGTCGCGGGGCGTGCTGGAGCCTATATCAGTTGTCTTCAGGCAGTAAGCGGGGTACACCCTGAACTAGTTGCCAGCCAATCGCAGGTCACACATAGGCGAAGAACCATCCGCGCTCACATTCACACCTAGGGACAATTTAGAATATTTCATTAACCCGCCGCATGTTTGTTTGTTTTTTTGTTTTTTGTTTTTTGCCTAGGTTCAGGGTTCGATTTCGGGTCCAGCCTTCCAGTGTGGTGTTTGCATGTTCTCCCCCTGCTTGCGTGGGTTTTCTCCGGGTGCGCCGCTTTCCTCCTAAATTCCAAAAAAACATGCATGCATGGATGTTTATAAATCAAACTCGTTACGAACGTGAATTAATTAATAATTTGTATTGCTACATACCAATATGGTAAACAGCAATGTCAGACATCAACCATACACATTTTGCAAACAGTTGCATCCACAGAGACTTGACAATTGTCAAGATAACAAAATTATCTTTTGAACATTGTTTTATTTTCAGCATTGTATGGAAAACCGTTCTGAGCGTTACTTCATCCATGCATTCAATATTCTTGACATCCAGCTCAAGGTCGAACTAGTTGGTCAAATGTGGCACTAGTGGTGGAAAAACATCACTATTACTGAGAACAAAGACCCAGCTAAGAACTAAATGTTTATTCAAAATAACATTTAACATACACCTCCGTGCTCTGCCACTTGGTGTCGGTATCACGACTTGTAAAACCACAAAGAAGAAGTGAGAAGAACCCGGATGAACGGTACATATTCAGGAAACTGTCATCAGCCAGCCCTCTTTCTCGAAAAGCTAACCACGTTGTGGGAACTTTTCCTGGCTCACCGCTGTTCGCTTGATTTTTCTTCCGAATAAGTCGGTCAGGAATAATCACAATGGTATGTTTAGCGCTTGGAAATTGTGGTACTGCGTCATGAAGTTCGCGTGACCATTTGATCGTGATTCTAAGGCATTCTTTATTTTTCTTGATATGGACATTAGCATACCACGGCTAACTCTCGTAGCGTCTGCACCCGCCACACGCAGTCTATTAACAAAAGGGCTGCAAACATATTTGGCTTTACGACTACAAATGAGCAACCTGAATTCAATACATTCAAAGTCTCACCCAACAACTTTTCTTGTGTCGATTTAGCAGTAAAAACAGCGAAGCGTATGGATTTGTAGCTACCAAATTAGATCAGCGTCCAATCGTAATTTGCGGAATAGGTCAGTTTTTAAGTAGTGGCGGCAAGGCTCACTAGAAAACTCGACAAATGCAACTATGTGGGGTTTCACTGAATTGAGTTCCGACAGGCCACACTGTAATTACCTAATACATTTGTGAACTCAAATAATCATGATTTTGAATTCCAGATGGAATTGCATGAGGTGTATGAAGTTATGCAACTACTTGTCTACTTGTATGCAGGCTTTCAAGGACTCTGGGAAGGCACCTGTTGAGACGGAGGTGGCTATTCACCGCATCCGCATCACCCTCACCAGCCGCAATGTCAAATCTCTGGAAAAAGGTAATCAAACAAGCCTGAATAAGCATTCTCTGTCATTATACAATGCACAACAAAATTTGTATGCCATTGTATATTAGCAGAGATTGATATTGTGTTGCTCATTTGCTATGAGGATACTAATCTTTCTGATACCCCTGATGTCTGAAATACGCTATTCTGAGCTATTATACCTTTTAAGTATCCTGTCTAAAAGCTGTTGAAAAAGTGATTGTGACAGTTGTTTTGTCCTCTTCAGTCTGTGCTGACTTGATCCGTGGTGCAAAGGAGAAGAACCTGAAGGTGAAGGGACCGGTCCGCATGCCAACCAAGGTACCACCCTGTTGCAATTTTTATGCAGAATATGTATTTAATGTCATATCTCACTGTACAATTACTAGCTCTGACATTGGGGACACCTGAAAAACTTTCTTGATTGTTGGTTTTGACATTTCTCATCCTGTCCTCGCCAGACCCTGCGTATCACCACCAGGAAGACCCCCTGTGGCGAAGGCTCCAAAACTTGGGATCGCTTCCAGATGCGGATCCACAAACGCCTGATTGATCTGCACAGCCCATCTGAAATTGTCAAGCAGATCACCTCCATCAGCATCGAGCCTGGTGTTGAGGTTGAAGTTACCATTGCTGATGCATAAATTTTCACTGATGCAATAAAGACAAGAAGAAAACTGCTCTGCCTTTTATTTTTTGTCTGCTTGTGTGTCGGGGTGGGGGTTGGTCATCATGATAGGCTGTAATATTTTTCATGAACCGGTTTCAGTCTCAATGAGAATGTTAAGAAAAAAAACATGAATCACACTATGCTATCCAACTTGTGTGCACAATAACATCCACTCCTCCTCTGTTATGGGTTACATTCCAGGCCAGCATTGAAATAATGTGAAATCTGTGATAAAGAAATGCCTTATTTACACCCATAGGTGTGTTTATATATATTTATGTTTATAAGTATTTACACATTTAAGATCTTTTTAAGCAACACATTCTGGGTGTAAGAGCAATGGCTATATATATTGTCCAAACAGTATTTTTAAAAATGTAGTACAACTGTTTGTTTTTTTTTAATTTCTGATATAGCATAGGATTATTGTTTGGATCTGGGGTGAAATTTCACAAACCTAAAAAGCACTAGAGCCTTTATAGGTGAACCAAAACTTTCAACACTGGTCCAAATGTTAATGAATTGAAACCTTATGTAACTTTTTTTTTTTTAACTATATCACTGTTTGTGATGGAGTGGCTCAGTCCTGTCTTTGGACAGGTATGTTTTATTGTATTATTTTTAATGGTGGTGCTTGATTTAAAAAGTTGGGGAACTACTGGTCAATATATCAGATTTCAACCAGAAAGGACCACATCATATTTTGTGCATCTCTCTGCTGAATCCGCAACGTCATCAAAGCGCAACGCTCCAAACTAATTGGCTGTTCTTTCACTTCACACCAGCTCTGAGTTAAACCTAATTGCCTGGCAAGCTACCATAGAAGCTCTGTTGAACGCGCTTTGCTCGGATCTAAAATTTTAAGGAAGGATTTTGTGCGCCTTTTCAGCAAGGATGGCAACCATGCAGTCTGGTGACATGGATTTGGCTTTTATTTCGCCCCCAGAGGTTCAACATACAATTCCTTCCGATTTTTGTCGTCAAACAGCGTCCTATATGTCTTTCTCACGCCAGACTTGTCAAGCCCATTTCTGCTCCGAATTGCATTCTTTCTTTTTTTTTTTGCAGGAGGAGACAGCAGGAGGGGATCAGCAGACTATGAAAGTCTACCTTCGAGTAAGACCTTTCTCAAAGGAGGAGATCTCTGACAATGAGGATCAGGTACTGTAGACTTGCATTCGCCTGACCATTCATAAATCGCTGTTCATTTTACACATGACTGATTTATTTATTTTAATTAGGATTGTATAGTAATAGAAAACGACCAGATGGTGACGCTGCAGGCTCCAAAAGGTTCTGCCACCCTGAAATGCAGCGAGAAGGGTATCGCCACGTCTGTACACAAATTCTCATTTTCAAGGGTCAGCAACTTTTAATTTTTTTTCCCCTCCACACCCTGCTCTCACTGCTGTGACCCTAATAATTCCTTAACTCTCACTTTGCAAGATTGCAAATGTCTGTACCGGTGGAGCCGTTCAAGTTTGTGCAGCTCAAGTAAATGAAAATATAACTTAAAAGTACAATTGGAAAAAACCTTTTCGTAAACGAAATAAAAGCAAAACGAACACGCTTTAAAAAAAAACAACAAAAAAACGGCGTTTCTAGTTTAAAAAAAACTAACTATAATAGGGAAAATGTACATGAAAATATTTTATTTGCACTCTTTGATTTGTTCAATGGGGGCAGCTCTTGTTTTATAATTGCTCTATACTTGCATTTTTTTTAGATTTTCGGAGCAGAGACAACTCAGGCTGAGCTTTATGACCACACAGTCAAAAGCCAAATGTCTGATTTCTTGGATGGGGAGAATTCGCTGATCTTCAGCTATGGCGTCACCAATGCTGGGAAAACCTTTACAATCCAAGGTCAAAATGCAAATTGTTGAGGACTTTAATGAGGCCATTATTTTTTTCATGAGTGCCATTAAATTGTCTAATTCAATCAGGAACTTCAAAAGAACCAGGAATATTGCCTCGAGTGTTGGATGCCACCTTTGAGTACATCACAGGGCGCCAGTATGAGGGCATGGACGTGAAGCCCTACCTCAGGAATGATACACGATATCTGGATGCTGAGCAAGTCAAACAAGAGAAAAGTGCAAAAGCTGCCATTTTTGCATCATTCGGAGAGGTGAGATGATTACCATGCAGTTAAGATAGTGAGACAGAATGGCTACATATTGGGAGATTGTATTTTTTTTTTTCTTTTCCGTTTCTGCCTGAAGGAATGTGAGCCCTTGAGACCCAGCAGCGGATCAGATCCCTTGCCCTGTTCTATTGCTTCAACTTCCCAGTCATTTGACTGTCAATCAGGTAACCCTCAGGAATATAATAGGCTGTACCTAATGTTTCAATCCATGAGATCTAATAGATTTAAAAAGACTGACTTTTTATGACCATAATTGCCACTATTTGACCTTCAATTTGATCCTCTGACAGAAGGAGGGAGCAGTCAGTTTGCTTTATGGGTGGCATTCTTTGAAATCTACAACGAGTACGTCTACGATCTCATTCAACCGTCTTTTTGCTCCAAATCCAAGAAACGTGCCGCTCTTCGTGTTTGTGATGACGGCGCTGGCAACGCTTACGTTAAAGGTGCGAGGATGACCTCCAACCTCAGCACACCCAAAGAAGCAATCTTTGTTTTTGTTGTTTCCTAACCATTTTCATGTTCAGATCTTCGATGGATCAACATCCAGAGTTTGTCCGAAGCCGGCAAACTGCTGCAATTTGGCAACAAAAACCGAAGTGCTGTAGCCACCAAGATGAACCAGTCCTCCAGCAGAAGGTAAACATCCACTCTTCTGATCACTCCTTCACATTTTTAATCATTTCATGTTATTAAAAAAGTGACTAACTTTCCCCACAGCCACAGCATATTTACCATGAAACTGCTGAAGATGGATGGAAACAAAGCTCAAAGGATGTCAGAGTAAGTTTCAATGAATTATACTACTATAGATCTTTTCCAGCTCCGCAAAAAAAAACCAACTTGATCCTAAATGAAATTGTCATCACAGCCAGTAGCAGCGATCGGCCATAACAAAACAAAATTTGCGGTCCTCAGGTTTTCTCTGTGCGACTTGGCTGGCTCCGAAAGATGCAACAAAACCAAAACCTTTGGCGAGAGGCTAAAAGAAGCAGGAAACATTAACAACTCACTCCTCATCCTGGGGAAGTGCATCAACGCCCTGCGCAACAATCAGACCGAAAAGTACAATCCGCTGTTGTCACGATGACCGTTGTCTTTGCAGCCCGTGGCGGTTACTCGTGCAGTTCAACCGCTCTTTCGTCCAATCAGAATGAAGAGCGCTTGCATCCCTTTTCGTGAGAGCAAGCTGACCAAGCTCTTCCAGGCTGTTTTCTGCGGCAAAGGAAGAGCTTCAATGATCGTCAACACTAGTCAGTGTGCTTCGACATATGATGAGACGCTCCATGTCATGAAGTTCTCTGCTGTAGCCAAACAGGTAAGCCTGGAAATGGCCGCCTTGGCGGTAGTGCTGTGATCCACTTTTATCAAATGAATACAAATTGAGGGGTTATCGTATGTCATCTTCAGGTGCAGGTGATCCCGGACAAGTCCCTGGAATCTCTGTCCATGTGTCTGGTGGGTCCCAATGGCAAATCTCTGGTGAGGAATGGGGTGATTGACAGGCAGGCCCTGGAAAGTTTTCTGTCCGAAGATGAGCTGCTGAATGAGGAAGACGATGCAGACATGTCCTTACTGACACAGAACGTAACTCAATTTTACATTCACGTCTAAATGGGTCTTGAGGGGTGGTTTTTTTTTTTGTTTTTTTTTTTAATGGTCAGATTTAGCATCTGGTATCAATTATGGTTCTCTGTCAGCATGACTATTCTGAATTTGCCTGAAAACTTTGCCCAGGAGCTATTGGACACGATTGAAAGCCTCCGAACAAAACTGCTGGCCGAGCGAAGACGAAACCTGGAGCAGGAGATGGAGATCCGCAAGGAAATGGGCGACGCCATGTTACAGCAGATCATGGAGAGCGAGGAACTCCGCAGGTTTCGAAGCGTTGCTGGGACGGTTGGATCATTTCGCAAAGGCGGCGGTGCGAGCGCGTGTCTTTGAACGTTTAGCCAACAGATTGAAGAGCTGAAGGAGAGCTACCAAGAAAAGATGGAGAACACTTTCGAGATGTATAAGGACGCTATCAAAGAGCACGCTTACAAGAGTGCCATGAGCAACCTCGAAGATGATTTTGTGCCTCTTGACGAGTTCACGGCAGAGCAGGAGAAAGTTGAGGTCGCGATTCCGGATCGCGAGACACGGCCATTTATATTGCGGATGAAACGAATCAATCAAATCGGATTGTAACTTGTCTGCAGGCCCTCGAGCGACAGCTTTCGCAGTTGGCATCCCAGACCAGAGTGTGTACGGTTGCGACTGTGGACGCCTCATGTCAGTGTCAACCATCGACAGATTTTGAAGCTGCAGGTTTGTCACCTTTTTTGCAGCCGTTGCATGTATTTAATGAAGACATGAACAAAGACACTTTAATCTCCTCAAAATAACTTTTTTTGTTTCACCCCCGCAGGAGAGGAACGTTTAAAACGTCTCTACAAGGAGAAAAGTGCCATGGAACAGATGTGTGAGGATAAGCAACAGGTAATGTCAATGTTTTGAGATTTACAGCATTTGCCTTTTTTGTCATCCGCGAAACACTGTTACCCTTGAGTTACAGTTGTGGTTCAGTCTTTTGCATCAAACGTTTCACCCTTAGTTGATCTTGTCCTTGGAGAGACGACTGATCGAGCTTAGCAAAACCCTTCAGACGGTTCGAGATGGCTTCCTGGAGAAATCGGTTGAGCTCAAGGACCTCCAGGTGAAGACCCAAGAACAGGTAAGATGAAGAGGCACCGAACTTGGAGTGCACGTGTCACAATGATAAATAGAACAAAATGCTCAGACTGTGGCTTTTATGTCTCTATTAAGATGAAATCAATGCAGGGAATTGTATCTCAGTCCTTGGAAAAGGACAAGGAAATTGCCTCCTTAAAGGCAGAGCTCGCCAAGCTCACCCCAAAGTCACCCGTGCCGGCCAAAACCAAGAAAGGCTTTCTCGCAAACATCAAGGAAGCGGTAACGTCCCCTCATAAGACCAGAAGCCGGACACTCAGGAAAGCTGCTGAAACTCCACGCCGCTGATCAGCACGTCCTCTTAAGTAGGATGGATTTTAGGGGAATTTTAAAATTCTGCAAAATGAAAAAACAAACCCAACTTTTAAGCTTCAGGTGTTGGATTTGGTGCCGGTCATTGTTTTTGTATTAATCTCTGCTATAGCCTTTATGTAATAAAATGATTGCTATTTTATCACAACACGGAGATTCTTGCTCGAGGTGTAAAATCACAGTTCCTCTTTGTAGCAATAGTTCAATGCTATTTAGAGGTTTCAGTCTTTTCTCCCCCCCCCTCACCCATTTGATCATTCACGAAAGCTTATTAGACACGCATTCATAGACTGCAATAGAAACATCACGCCAGGGTAGTTTATGCTTGGTGCTTCTTCCTTTAAACCAAGCTGGTCAAATGAGGGCGTCCATTATGCGCGGCCCGAGGGGGAAGTAAGCCACAAAAGAAAGGAACTGCGTAAAACTTTCAGGTTTCCCAAGTGTAACCATATTCTCCATAATTGCAACAAAGCCAGATCCTGTGCAAAAAATCTTGTTAAAAAATCTTAATTGAACATAGTGAGGTATTTAATGCAGTAATGTTTGATAAGGCGTTAAACGTCTATTGGTGTACTGGCTGTAGTAGTTAACCTGTTTAATAATTGTTATGGCAATCTTGTGCTGTTTTAGGGTAAGTGCTAGAAGCTTACAAATTTCCTCCCCCACCCCCACTTGTAAATGTAAAATCCATTCAAAAAGAATGAGATTTTTAAATATTTGTGTATTTTGGGTTGCATTATGTAAAATCACTCAATTTCAGGGTGAAACTAAGCCAATGCGTGCTTTTTTTCTTTTCTATCAAAATGGGGCCAATTTGAGCCGAACAGTGACAAGGCAGAAAATGTCTTCCAGATCTAATGATTTTGAGGTTATTTTCTCCCTGGATACTGTTAGGTTAGATGTAAAATTTAGTCTGCGTTAAACGTCGAAGCATATTGCCTTGGAGATGAGCGTCAGAGCTGAAGCCAGTTGAGGCAAGAGCGAAGCCTCCCCTTAGTGAAAGGACAGTTGTGGTAAGGACGGGCAGCTGCTCTTGTCTTCGCTCTCAGTGACAGTTAATGAGATTACCGCTGTTGGCTTTATCCTGCGTCGGGGCAAAGGGGTCAATCACAGGATTAGCAACTTGCTGAAGTTAGCCTCTTTCTTCGTTCATCACTTTCTAATATTTTGTCAGCCTCCAAAGCGTCCTTGCAGGTTGACGGATGACATGAGTGTAGAGTATTGAGCTGGAATATGGTGATGCATCGCTTCTGCTGTCCTGGACCTGAAGCCTGACTGGACTCTAAACCTGTGAATGACACGTCTCGTGAGGGGAAAAGGAGCATCCTGCACAGTGAAGGGCGGCCAGCCAGGACAGAATTTTGTGCCTTGTTCTTGGCAAGTGATCCTCATGCCACTTGTAAGTAACAAAGTTGGAGATGATTGCACACATGGCACAAATACGGCTTCGGTTGATGGCAAAGCTATGGTGGATACTTTAAATAAGGTAAGCTTAATTCTCCTAGTGAGATTTCATTCACTTTTTTTTTTATTTTTTTTACTTTTGGATCACTTAGTGGGTGGACCAAACACAATATTTATACAAAATCATGTATAACCACCAACTAAGAAATGCGGCTTTCAAAAGTTGCGGAACATTTCCTCTGATTCTTGTCTAAGTGGCAAATATAAGAACAACACAAGCGAGTTCATCCCTGTGGCTAAAACAGCACTCTCAATGAATAGGATTTCTTGCTTCGCTGCATCTTTGTGCTCATTCAAATATGTAGGTTGCAATGCATTTGGGCCTCGGTTGCGTGTTAATGTGTTCACCTACACTCGCATTTTGACCAGTGACGTTTTTGCACTATGGATAATGGAATACTTTAAGATCATGATGTTTTTTGGGTTTTTTTTTAAAAAAAAAAATGTTTAGGATTTAAAGTATAGTATCGCAAATGTATGTTTTAACAAACCAATAAAATGGTTAAACATTCATATATGAAGGAAAAAGTCCAGATTGTCACTTTACATTGGTAAGAGAAGCTATAGAGAGGCATGTCATATATTAATTTTTTATACAGCGTGGCACTTCTGTTTCATCCTTTACCGCATTCCACTTTTGACCAAAATTGATGTCAATATTGTGGGAATCGCTCTTTTTCACTGAGTGTTAAATTTAATATCTTAGAGTAAAAACTGAATATATGTGAATATGCAGGATTTTTCACAAAACATCTCATTAGATCCAATGAGTGTTAGCACTTTTTAGCCGTCTGCATGTGTGTTGGGTTCTAATTGTTTACCTTCTGAATGTAACCATTTCTTTATCATTGATTGCCTTGGTACAGGTGGTGGCATGCTATCGACATCTAGCTTCATGTGTCGGCGGCTGCACTGACGGCTTGCAGCTGCGAGATGAGTTAAGGCAAACCAGAGAGAGGGCCCGCGAGTTGGCCACGACCATCTGTCAACATCTCACCTTGCATCTTCGTGACAAGAGCCTCCCTGTGGAGCAGCGCAAAGAGATGGAGCTCCTTTGGGTGGCCTTATCGTCCAGCCTGGAGCTCCTCCACATTGACATGTGCAAAGTTTACAACATGGGAGCAGTCTTCACTCTTGCTGAGTCTCCTAGTTTAGTGCAAACTGGCATGCAAGGTAAAAAATAAATAAAAAATTCACTGTGTATTTTAGGTTAATTTGCAATTAATTTGGGTCATGGTGAACTCGTCTGCCTCACAGCGAAATGTCCCAGGTTAGAATCTTGATGCAGGCCTAAAGAAAGCCGCTTGAGCCTTTATTCAGTGTCCAGTTTAAGGTCCGTGTACTAGTCCGCTTTTTGTCCTCACGCAGGAGGGAGCAGTGAAGTAGCTGCTCGAGCCCTCAGTCTCCCAGACCTGAACCGGGCTCTGAACTCCGATCTCATCGATGGCTTTGAGAGCCAAGAGCACAAGACCATGGAGCAGGAGATCAACCAAATTGACCACATGATTGAGGACATGGAAACAAAGGTGAACGTGTTGCGCTGGATGGTGGAGCCCAATGGGCCGCTGAATGCCGAACCACTTGGCAGCGCTGACAGCGCCTCCCTGGCCCTGCTCTCTGTGAACGACGAGCAGCTTGCCGGACGCCGGCCTGCAGGCCAGCGCGGTCTCATTGTGGCACTCTTATTGTTGTGTGTCATCATTTCGGTGGCAACCACTTTATCCGTCTGTATTTTCTTCTTCTCATGAGTAAAAATAACATATACACATTTGACATTTTTTTTGTCAAGACCCGTGAACCTCAATAACAAAGGTGGATAGTGTAGCCAAAAATTCTACCAAAAAAAAAAAATCTATATATATATATATATCTTGTTACTACCTACCTCTGACCATGCACTGTAAATGGAACTTTAGAGTATCAGCCCAATACGAAATAATGGATTTTTTTTTTTTTGTATAGGTATATCCACTGAATGAATACGGCATCAGTGTAAAGCACATTGGGGATTCAACATGCCAGAGGATGTGCATAGTCACATTATTATTATTATTCACCTTTCTCACCAGTCCGTTTTTAGAAATGGGTAAAATCTCGGTAGTGTTACCCCCAAGTACAGTAATTTGCTTAAAATATGTGACTTACTGCACCATTCTAAACCTGGAAAATGATCTACCTCCCCATCCTATCTCTGGCTACTTAGAGCTGCATATGCATCAAGTACCTGTTTGGCAAACTGGTAGGCATGAAATTGTGTTAAGGAATAAAGGAGATTAAACATCTTTGTGGGGAGCCTGTGGTGTGGATTTTCTCATGACATAAGACATTAATTAGCCAACGCTGAGACGTTGGACTATATGTCTGAAAATACAAGAAACAGGACTGACTTGGTTTCAGTCACACATTCCATGACAGCTAGAGACATTGGAAAAAAATAGGTCAAATAGATGATTTACACGTTTTTTGTCGTATTTATTTTGTTTATTCAAACTAAAAGGCTATGGAATTAAATTGGAAAGGCAAAAAGCTGGCGTGTTTAGATAGTGGAATTTATTCTGAAAGGCAAACCCGGATATACATAAGTGTTAAAGTTTGAAAGTCGGAAGTAGTTTCGTTCTGTCGTGGCAGAGCTTCAATTTTACGCTTCCACAATGGTACTCAAACAATGTCACACGCGACTCAACGTTTTTGCTCTTAGCCACAGTGAAAAGCGCTTCAACCAAGCCACAAGTGCAGATAGAGCGAGCTTTTGCAGGAGTCTATCTTGGAAAATTTCATCTACCGAACCTAGTTGGCCACATTTCAAGTCCTCGGCAAGTTTCGTGAGTTCTTTATCTGACACTAACCGGGCGAGGCGGCAAGCTGGGCTCAGACTCGTGCACCTGTCCGGAAAAGGTGACGTGTACAGTATTTACTTATCCATTGTTTCGAGTACAGTAGTTGTAAAATGTGACCAAATATTTTACTGTGGAAGAATGACGTCACTGTGACTGTTGATTCTTTTTTTTTTCTTTTTAACTTTATTAGTACATTCCACTGACTGTCCTTTACAGAGTGTCCCGTTGGACAGGGGCGTTCATTCAGATTCAGGGGTGGGGCTACATACAGTGTGGGACATAATTGCAGTGTTTACCACATGCTTAATTTTAAGATTGTACAGTTACAAAGCGACACATGCTTATTTTTTCACCTAGATCTGAATCAGTATTTACATAATACATCGTGAATTTTTTTTTTTTTTTACATCGCCTCAGAGCACCAAAAATATCATTCCAGTCAAAGAGTCTTGGCAAGTAAGCAAACGTTGAACCATAAATTGTCAACATTGCTTTTAGACAAGAGTTCTGACAGCCCCATTAAGTATGATGTGCAGCCTGATGTCCCGAAAGTCCGGAAGCTGTTCTTTGACACTCATGCGGTGGTTCACCTCCTTGAAGAGAACGGTGGGAGCCGTCACCACGGTTGTTGCACGTTATTACTCTGCTTTATGAACTGACGCTGTCAAAGTTTCTTTGAACAGGCTTCACTAGTCAGCAAGCTGAAGCGCTAGTTAAGGTGCTCTTGAAGATGACAAACTCTACCATGGACACCATTTATAGTGACATGGTAACCAAAGTACAGCAGGTAAAAGTGTCTCATTTGTTTGTATAAACAATGCCGTAAGCCTCTTCAGTTTGATGAATGCGACTGACAGTTGTTTTCCAACCTTGCGCCCTGTGCAATACAGTAATGCCTCTCAAAAAATAAAATGCACGAAAAAAATCATTGTCACAGCGAAGCCGTGAAAGATGAACCGTGTTATTGCGAGGGGATTACTGTATCCAGTATCTGCACCTTAACTCAGAATGGATCGTGTCCCTTCTTTAGGAGATTATGATGCAACGTGTGATGTCTCAAATCGCGGCTTTAAAGAAGGACATGGTCATTCTTGAGAAAAGCGAGTTCTCTACGTTATTGGAAGAGAGTGAGGTAAGCATGTTGAAGTGAAGGCTATTACAGAAGTGCTACAGTGTGACTCTGCATACTTACAGATTCACCTCTTCAGATTCCCCCCCCCCCCCATTATTCTCTGAAAAACTTAATTTCATTGTTTTCTTGCTCCGGCCAAAGCCCTGTACAATAGATAAATCTTGCTTTGCCAACATTTGTGCCATCTTGAGTAACACATTATGTTCAAATTTGCTTCTTGTAATACTTTGCTGTCATCTTGTGGCATATTTGCGGCAAAGCACTCCTGCTGCATTTGTTGGCATCCTGAGAGGTGTTTAATATTCTGGTTATGTAATATACTATCGCTACACCCGAGAGGCAAAAAAAAATTAAAAACACCTCCATACTATTCTACCACAAACTGCAAACAAATCATATGATTGATGAAAGACTTTACAGCATATTCACATTTCAGAAATTGAAGATCCAGCTCTGGCAGCTGAAGGTGCAACTAGCTGTAAGTCAGAAAATGTTGCAATGATTTACTCAAATTTTGATTCCAATGTAAATATATAATTGATATTTTGCATTCACTGTATCTCTTGCTGCCTTTTAGGACATCATGAATAAAGTACGCTCAGAGACACTTTTGGACATGAATTTAGAAAAGAGTCGCATGAAAGAACTGGTAATCCCATCAATCTTGATCATTTTTGCTGAAAACGGAAGTTACTTAAAAGACATCATCCTCATAATTTTTTTTTCCAGAAAGCAGGCCATGAGAGGAAGCTTCAAGAAACACGGACAGAAATTTTGGAAATGGTTTGTGCCGATAACAGCATCATATTCGTCACAACAAAGTCATCTTCCTTCCACCTTCCTACGATTGGGATCAAGTCTTTTTTTTTTTTTTTTTCCTCAAACAGACTGCCGAGCAAGATCGTCATCTGACTCAGACCAAGATGAAAATTGATACTGAAGTGGCGGGTTTGAAAACCATGTTAGAGTCGCATAAATTGGACACGATAAAATACCTTGCAGGTAGAACATGGCATTCAGTATATTGAGGAATAAATCCTTTTCACATTATTAAGCCATTAAATATCTCATTGCAATCTCTGAGGTACAGTGCCACGGTTAAAGTCAAATTTTAAAGAAGACAGCGATGGGTTTTTTCCCCCCATAAAATTATCAAACGGTTCTCAAGTTTCCAAATAAATGTTTGCAGACATTCTGTCAAACTACAGAAAGGCAGCACACCTGGATTCAGGAATTTGCACTCTGTTTGAAATCATGCAAATTTATAGTATGCTGTTTGTTCCCATGGCAACTGGGGCAGAGCTAGGGCAATGCAACAAAGCGATTGCTTAGTTGCAAACTTTGTCGTTTTTTTTTACAGACTCGCTAATTGCCATGATAAAAAAAGTGACATTTTTAGAAATGGGCAGCTCACGAAACACTTGATTCAATTTCATACTTGATGGGTGGGCAGGTACTCGAGAGTCTACATTGGAACTTGACTGCATATAGATCCTGTTTATAGAGTACCTGTACTTATTTCTTGAATAAATTCATACCTTTTTTCCCCCCTCCTCTAGGTTCAGTGTTCACTTGTCTCACCGTGGTCTTAGGTTTCTATCGTATCTGGATGTAAGGAGCGCTCTGGGGGAGTGATGTACTGTAACTCCTCTAAATTCATATTCAGCTCATTGAGACAAAATCTCTGTTATCTCGACCATATTCTGATGGACTCTCAAGTCGAGCACAATACAAGGATGCAGCAGATGTCTTCCAGGAATGTTTACCAGCGTGACAACCCACTCAAGAAATGGCTGAACGCTGTTCTATGGAGTGGGAAAAATAAACAGTATCTTTTACTTTTGTATGAAATATGACTTGTGTATTTGTGGTGGTTGAGCTATCCTTCAACTTGATTGAATGTTGACAAATGTGTCTTGTTTTAACTGTCACGTGTGTTGTGAAACTAATAAAATGAACTGATGTCGAAAGCCGTTTTATTTTCATGACACTGTGTCCCCTGTTTACAATGTAATTTTGTTTGTATGAATGCAACAAATTTTTTTTTTTTTTTTGATTGTGGTACATTTTCAAAACTGCTCAGTCAAAAATAACCCTATTTGGGTCAAACAGACCCAACTTTTCGGCTTCTTGTGTCCTAAAAAAAGGGGCTTGTTTTGTATAAATCAACCCAGAAAGTTGGGGCAACCTGACTCAAGTAGTAGGACACTTCCTCATTTTTTTTTTTTTTTGGGGGGGGGGGCGGTGACCCAGCAGTTTTAAAAGCGCCCTATATCTGAATGCGCTGCAGTTTCTCGCTAAAAACGTGCAGGAAATAAATGGCACGCTAAATTCATTCATAAATCAGGGTAACAAACAAATGCTGCATCTTGGTTCAAACTTTGGCTTAGCCTCGACAATTCAAGCCCCCAAAACTGTCAGTCATTTGCAAGTTTAACAACTGCATTGCTGGGCTTGTGGGCGTGTTTGACGGCAAATTGGACAATTAAGAACTTCGGTGTTTGGGGCGTGGCACGATGGTTAACGAGGGTTAAAGCGCCTGCTGCTGTACGGGAGGCCTTGACAGAAGGTTCAGGACGCCACGCATCATCTCGTTGCTGGATTTTATGATGAACAATGCTCTTTGGATTGAGGTAGGAAATGCGTCGCGGTTGCCGGCGTTCCATGGCCATCAAAATATGTGTGCACACAAGGGGAAATCTGATCAACGCATTGGTTGATGAAGGGATTGTTGGACAAACTTGGTTCGGGTCGTTCGACCTGTCGTAATGCGGTGACTGTCGGTTACAAAATCTTAAAAGTACAAAAGTTGGGTTCATATGATGGAGGGGTCAATGTGTACTCCTTGTCAAATGCGAGAGTTCTGGCGATCAACGCTGTGGCCGGTGACTGCCACGTGCAAATGACGGGTAAAAAAAAATCTGCTTTGGCATTCGCTGATGCACAAAATGGCAGAAAAGCACAACTATCGGTTTCGGGGAAAAATGCAAAGTTTCTTGCAAGGTGGTAATGGGGAGATTTGAAAAATCTCTCGACGGGTTTATTGAATTGTGTGGTGAAATAAGTTCCATGCAATATTTTTCAAACGATGTATTACTTAATGTGGAAAAGAAACGTGGTTTAAGGGGAAAATGTGGTTCAATTTTGACTTTGACCACAAAAAGGTGGACAAAATTAAATGGAAAAACATGGGTGTCAAATGAAAATACTGTTGGTATGAATACTGATGGTGATTGGGAAAACATGTCTGGTATTGCGAATCTCGGTGGTATTCGTCACAATGACATACACACACACACAAAATCAAAGGTGGGGGGAAAATGTCCATACTGTGGGCAAGTCCAACTTATTCTGCTCAAATACAAATGGATGCAAAAGGGAAACTTGCAACACGAATGTTTGGGTATCTTCAAAGGAAACATACACTGGAACAATGGGAAAGGCAACCTGGAATCAAAAGGAACCGCTCTCGTTGCAGAGCAAGCACACCACACTACACCACACTAACACTAAACAGACTTCAAATGCAAACTTGCTCTCATGCACCGGCTGGTGGCAGGAGCTCTCATTTTGGACAAACAAAACAGCAAGTAGATGCTCGAAAGGAAACTTGCACACTGGAGCAACAGAAATGGCAAACTGGAATCAAAAGGAACCGCTCTCATTGCAGAGCAAGCTCACCGAAACGGACTTCAAATGCAAACTTGCTCTCATGCACCAGCAAATGGCAGGAGCTCTCATTCTGGACAAACAAAACTGGAAGTTGGATGCTTGTCAATGCTCTGAACCAAACGGCAAAGGGAAATTAACCTGCAACATGGGTCACGCAGCAAAAGGAGGATGGCTCACTTCAACAAAGTGAAAAGCAAAAGCTGGATGTGCAACCAAAACAACCTGGAAAACAAATCTTGACTGTAACAGCAAACGCAGGTTGATGTGCTTTACAAGCTACCTCCCGCCAAAGTTTTCATGCTCATGAGAATGCAAGAGATGCTTTTCTTCAGGGTAAAATTCGATGTCAGTAGCTTCACGAACACCTTGTGGACACCGTGAGGCTGGAAGAGGTGGTTAAAACTGTGTTGGTTATCCAACACGAGCTCAGTGCACGGTTCATTGGGGATTTTGGTAATCGGTTCCTCTATTGGGAAATGTTAGAGGCAAGAGTGGAACGAAAGGAACTGGGGTTGAAAAGTTGCAGATCACAGCGAAGAATGTGGAGGAAACAAACAGACCATGTCTTCAGGCGTTAGGATTTTATGACTCGATCACGGTAGGATCTCACTCTCTTAAAGCTATGTCACTTAGCGAGGTCATAATTCCTGTGCTTGTACAGTACAGTACTTGCACTAACCAAGAGGCCATTAGTTTAATTTTGAAACGAGGTTGCACCGGTAGTGTAAGGACTACCTGAAAAGCCATTTTGGTTGGGTCCCTCGTGTTTGACCTCACCACCTTCAAGCTAAGTCACTTAACGGAGGTCATAATTCCTGTGCCTGTACAGTACAGTACTTGCACGAACAAAGGGAGCATTTGCTTTTATTCTGAAACGAGGTTGAACCGGTAGTGTAAGGACTACCTGAAAAGCCATTTTGGTTGGGTCCCTCGTGTTTGACCTCACCACCTTCAAGCTAAGTCACTTAACGGAGGTCATAATTCCTGTGCCTGTACAGTACAGTACTTGCACGAACAAATGGGGCACTTGTTTTTAAAAGCTGTGGATCACAGCGAACAATGTGGAGGAAATAAATGGACCATGTCTTCAGGTGTTTGGTTTTTATGACTCAATCACGGTAAGATCTCACTCTCTTAAAGCTTTGTCACTTAGCGAAAGTCGTAATTCCAGTGCCTGTACAGTACAGTACTGCACTAACGAAGGGGGCATTAACTTTTATTCTGAAACGAGGTTGAACCGGTAGTGTAAGGACTACCTGAAAAGCCATATTGGTTGGGTCCCTCATGTTTGCTAAATGTAACATTTCTGGCGAACTTGATGCCATTTAATTGTGCTAAGTGCTGCCCAACACTTCGAAGTAAACTTGCAGCAAAGCTAATGTTAGAAACGGGAAATATGTAATTGATATGAAGCATCATGACGATGTGCTTTGAAGTTCATGCTAAGGTTACAATTCGATGGCGTGAAGATCGTTTGATCGGTGTGTGGTTATGAATGGCTCGTTTTAAGCACCCGCTGGTGCATGGAAAGCTAATGTTAGAAACGGGATATATGTAATTGATATTAAGCATCATGACGATATGCTTTGAAGTTCATGCTAAGGTTACAATTCGATGGCGTGAAGATCGTTTGATCGGCGTGTTGTTATGAATGGCTCGTTTTAAACACCCGCTGGTGCATGGGACGCCATGACAGAAGAGACAAAGCAGGTAAGGTTGCCTCTGGACTCATCGCTTGATCTTCTGGACAGCGCTCTTTGGATTGAGGTAGGAGAGGCAGAGCTTGCCTCTGTTACATGGATTCAGGTAGGAGACGCGCCGAGTTTACCGCCGTTCCATCGCCATCTAAATGTGTGTGCATACAAGGGAAATGTTATCAATGCATTGGTTGATGACGAAATTGTTGGGCAAACTTGGTTCGGGTCGTACTACGTGCCGTAATGTGTTGACTGTCACTTACAGAATCTTAAGGTCCAAAAGTTGGGTTCAATGTGGACACCTTGTCAAATGCGAGCGTTCTGGCTATTCAAAGCTGTGGCCGGTGACTCCGACATGCAAATGAGGGGTCAAACGTTCTGCTGTGGGCTTCGCTGATGCACAAAATGGCACAAAAGCACAACTATCGGTTTCGAGGGAAACAATACAGGGTTTATTGCAAGGTGGTAATATTACAGAGATTTGAAAAATCTCTCGATGGGTTCGTTGAAATGTGTGGTGAAAAAGGTTGCACGTAAACGATTTATGACCTCACATGGACTGTGACAATAAAAAGTGGACAAAATTCAATGGAAAAAAACATGGGTGTCAAAAGACAATACTGATGGTGATTGGGAAAACGTTTCTGGTATTGCGAATCTCGGTGGTATTCGTCACAATGACATACACACACAAAATCAAAGGTGGGGGAAAATGTCCATACTGTGGGCAAGTCCAACTTATTCTGCTCAAATACAAATGGATGCAAAAGGGAAACTTGCAACACGAATGTTTGGGTATCTTCAAAGGAAACATACACTGGAACAATGGGAATGGCAAACTGGAATCAAAAGGAACCGCTCTCATTGCAGAGCAAGCACACCACATTACACCACACTAACACGAAACAAACTTCAAATGCAAACTTGCTCTCATGCACCGGCTGGTGGCAGGAGCTCTCATTTTGGACAAACAAAAAAGCAAGTGGATGCGCGAAAGGAAACTTGCTCACTGGAGCAACAGGAACAGCAAACTGGAATCAAAAGGAACCACTCTCATTGCAGAGCAAGCTCACCGCACCTCATACTAAAAAAAAACTTCAAATGCAAACTTGCTCTCATGCACCAGCTGATGGCAGGAGCTCTCATTTTGGACAAACAAAACAGCAAGTGGATGCTCAAAAGGAAACTTGCACACTGGAGCAACAGGAACGGCAAACTGGAATCAAAAGGAACCACTCTCATTGCAAAGCTCACCGCACCTAATACTAAAAAAAAAAAAAAAACTTCAAATGCAAACTTGCTCTCATGCACAAATAAAACAAATTGGACAAATAAAACCGGAATGCTCTTGTCAATGCTCTTAACCAAACGGCAAAGGGATATGAACCCGCAAAATGGGTAACACAGCAAAAGGAGGATGGCTCACTTCAACAAAGTAAAAAGCAAAAGATGGATGTGCGACCAAAACAACCTGGAAAACAAATCTTGATCCAAATGACCGATGTGTATGCTGCAGAGAGCATTATGTGTTGTGTTTATTATTTTACTTTAACTGTTTTGTGAAGCGCTTGTTGCAGCTGCAGCTGTTGTGAAAGCGCTATATAAATCAGGATGTATTGTATTGTATTGGAGTAGTGATGACAAGGGGCAAAAAGTGGTTTGTCAATGTTGTGTTCTATGCAAAATAACAGCGATTCCAGATTGATTCAGGAGCATCATACAATGCTATAAGTCATGGAGACAAAAGGAGACTGTCCCAAGGAGATGAGCTCAAGCTTTAAAAGCTGTGGATATTGTCGACTATCATGGGAGAACTACAACTGAATTCTCAGGAACAGCAGGTAGGTGTACATTGATTCTTGGACCTCAGTAATCGAGCGTGCCTGTACAGTACAGTACAGTACTGTACTTGCACGAACCAAGGGCGCATTTGATTTTATTTTGAAACGACGTTGAACCGGAAGTGTAAGGACTTCCTGAAAAGCCACATCGCTTTGGGAGCATGTGTTTGCTCAAACGAACCAGTGCGATTTAACTTTACCCAGAAATGTCAAACTGTTCGAACGTTCTTTGTAGTAAATGATGCGTATTGTGCTACAAGTGGGAATATACGGAGTAAATTTTGCTTAGCCGCAAGCTAACTTTAGAAACCGGACCTAAGTAATTTATATTATGCGTCACTTAAACGATGTACTTTAAGTTCATGCCACGGTTACAATTCGATGTCGTGAAGACCGTGTGATAATAACAGATTCGTTGTTATGAATGGCTAATGTATGTGCCATTTTCACAGGAGCTGTTTTAAGTACAGTATTGTAGCCATGGCAGATGCGTTCAGCAGCAGCTCGGAAAATGTGATTAAGCGTCAGGTTGACGTCCAAGAAACGAGGAAAACTCCTCAGGGAGAACTTGATGAGCTGTATCAAATTCAGAAAACCTGCGACTTTGTCTCTCAGAATCACTTCAAGAAGGTGGGGGACCCTTACATAACCTGCATGTTCAGCAATACACCATCGAGACTTCAATATAGCGTGCCCACCCTCCCTCATTTCCTAGGTTGCGCTGCAGTTTCCTGATGAACTCCTGCACGAATCGACCGCAATTGCAGCTGAGATTGAAAGAATTACTCAAGCGAAGGTGTTCATTCTGGGGGACACATCCTATGGCAGGTAATTGTGATTTTTTTTTTTTTTAATAGTCTTGATGGAATCCATTTGAGTTTTTACGTTTAGGTTGTGTTTTTTTAATATCCCCCCCCCCCCCACTACCCTCATTTGGTGTGTTTTGGTTTGGTCAGCTGCTGTGTGGATGAGGTGGCAGCAGAGCATGTTGGAGCCGACTGTATGGTGCACTACGGCCGAGCCTGCCTGAGCCCTTCCAAACGCCTGCCCCTCATGTACGTCTTTGAGAAAGCAAGCATCAACGTGGACAAGTGCACCTCGGTCTTCAGAGAACTGTATACTGACACACAGGCCCACATCCTCATCCTGTATGACGTCAGATACATGCATGCTATTGGTAAGCACACAGATGGAATTTATCGCACAGTGGACCTGTGCGTGATTGAAATGTGGTTAAACAGTAATTTAAAGGCTTTATTTTGTAATGTATGAGGTGGCAGAAGATACTTGGCCTCAGTTATGGTCAGTGTAGTGGATGTTGAGCCAAAAAAAAAAAAAAAAAGCATTCTGTGTTGATGCACAGTTGTGAACTGAAGCAAAATGTTGACAATCTTCTTTGTGGACGGGGTCGTTCACTAACTGTATCATGTATGTGCATATATTTAGAAAATATATGCAAATAGGTTGACCTTGGAAAAAATGCAGGATGGCTCCCCTGGTAACTGATTTTTCTCTCACCTCAGATGATCTAGTGACACTGTTGTGTGAAGACTATCCAAACGTTGTTTCTTCACAACTTGTGGTGGAAGGCGAGCAGTGTTACAGCCACGGCCGGAGCGAAAGAGAACCTGACGCAGAGCAGTCCAGCATTCACTTTGGAAGGCAGTTTTCCTTGAAGAGCGGACTGAGCATTGAGGATTACAATGTGTTCTACATCGGCCAAGATGGGCCAACCTTGCGAAACTTCATGATGACGTGGAATCGCTGCTCCTTCTCCTCCTTCGACCCCGTGACATCTGCAGGGAGGCTCGAGTCGGCTGGCGTCAACCGTGCACTGATGAAGCGCTTCTATGCTATCGAGAGGGCGAAGGATGCCAACGTGGTGGGCATCTTGGTGGGCACACTTGGTGTGGCCAACTACCTGTCTATCATCCAGCAGCTGAAAGAGACAATCCGCAGCGCCGGCAAGAAGAGTTACTTGTTCGCCATGGGGAAGCTCAACGTGCCCAAGCTTGCCAACTTTCTGGAAATTGACATTTTTGTTTTGATTTCGTGTCCGGAGAACTCTCTTTTGGACTCCAGTGAGTTCTACCGACCCGTGGTGACGCCGTTCGAGATGGAAGTGGCCTGCAACAGGAATAGGGAGTGGTCCGCGGAATATGTCACTGACTTTCGACATCTCTTGCCAGGTTTGAATCCATTTTATAGACTTCAAAGCATCACCTTTTGAGTGCAACCTTTGTCTTCAGTCTTATCTAATGTTTCTTCATGGCTGCCACAATTTTGTCTCCAGGTGGACACAGTTACGTACCTTTGGCAGAGGGGCAGGAGGACTATGACGAGACAGATGTATCTTTAATCACTGGGGCTCTGCGGAGCAACAAGCTGGACTGCAATCACGCAAACTCCCCGTTTGGCTCTTCACTTGTCCTGAGGAACCAGACGATGACTGTGGCCAACACCAACTCTGCCGGTACATGTCATTTCAAACACGAGAAGACGCGTTGATGTTTTTGTCCTGTGTTTATTGTCACAATCTTACTGTACAAAGTGAAAGCACACTGAAGTGTTCACTCTATTTTTCAGCATCGTTTTTGGCGAGTCGGAGCTGGCGCGGCTTGGAGCAGAAGTTGGGGGAGACGCCCGTGGAGAAAGCCGTGGAGGGCAGGAGGGGCATCGCTATCGCCTATGAAGAAGAAGGAGCTTAGTGGCAACATGTATGACATTTCTTCGAAGTGGTTTAAATTATCAGTGACTTTAAGGGGACATAACGTGGGGAAAGTGACTCTATCTTTTAAGCATCCTGCCCCTGAAGTTGCCCATTTACATTTGCAAGCATCATTGGTCATTCACTTTCTCCACAAAGGAAGCAGGAAAGATGCCAGTGTTCCCGTTAGAATGTCCTTCCAACCAGTCCTGGTTAACTGCAGTGGGGAGAGACAAAAGCATTACATCATGTCTGATCAGTTAAAAACATTATGATGAAAGGGATGGTTTCTCACTTTTAGAGATGAATGTGATTTTATCCCCCTGATTGAAACCAAGGTCCTCGGGATTTGTTGACTCATAGGAGTGAAGTGCCACCAGAACAGTCTCATTGTTCTGCGGATTTTCTGCAGGTTGCTGAACAACAACATGCAGTTAATTTATCCTCATCCTTGCGGATGACATGTACCCTTCATTTTAATTTTTGGGAGCATTTCAAGTTATTGATGTACTTACTTCTTTAGTATGACACCACAATGTGATGTGCTTGTTTTGAGCGCTCCAAATACTCTCCATATCTGTATTGTCATTCAAGGCACTTGTTGCATCTGACGCTAAGCTACATGGAACACACATTTGTAAGCACGGACACTGACGGAATCATGTATCTATTCATGTTGTGTGCCTTACCTCAGTGTGACTGACGAGGGAGAGCGGTTGAGTTTTTTACTGATCTTTTCGATCAGTGTCTTGTAAGTGGAGCCACTTGCTAGTGACACTGCAAAGTTGAATTTGTAATACACTTTGACAATACACAAGTTGTCCGCAGTCTGGGCTTCCTAAAGTGAGGACATCATCATTTTGGAAAGTCTTCATTTTTTTTTCTTTTTTTTTTTCTTTTTTTTCTTTTTTTTTCTTTTACCGTATTGGCCCAAATACAACACGGCCCTAATTATAAGACGACCCCCTCTTTTTCAAGACTCAAGTTTGAAAAAAAGACTTTTTGAACACCAAATTAATTTAAATTAAATGAATAAATTAATACAGAAAATAATTACAGTTCGTCTGAAACAAATAACAATGTATTTGAGAGAAAAAGCATGTTATTCTACCTCATTCTAATCTAAAGTGCAATCACATTCGTAAATGAATGGCTTCTGGTTTTTGAAATGTCAAGTACATCATAACTTCTCAGCTGCCGGTTAACCTGGCCAATCTGCGACCCATTTTTCTCCAGATTGTCACTACGTTTCTCCATTTTCTGTTGTCTCTTCTATTATTTTTTTCTTCTTACCACTATTTTTAATTTTTCTTCTTCGTGCTACCGCTATTTTTATTTTTATTCTTCGTGGCAGGGGGTCACTTTGGCCTGGGGAGTCAAGTTCAGCATTCGCTTCATTGATATCTGGCGCCATCTAGCCTCGTGAATAGGTATAATGCCTAGACCCTGAATATAAGATGACCCCCACTTTTTCAGTCTTATTTCAATGCGAAAAACAGTCTTCGGGCCAATACGGTATTTTATTTTCCTTTTTTTTTTTTTTTTTTTTTTTTTCTTTTTATTTTTTTTTCTTATTGCCTACCCTCTGTTGGAAGTCTTGACTGCTGCTTTCCCCACGAAGAAGACCTTAAAAACGTTTAATGTGTGAGCATTTTTTTTTCATTCCCAAACTGCGTTTATTTTGTCAATTTGTTGTCTAACAACATGTACCTTGTTTTCTTTCGGGCCTGGTTGGTGGTACCCGACTTGGAGGTTCTATTAGTTGCTGTTTTCCAATAAACATGGACCAGAAAATAATGAGGCTTTGTTATTCAACAGTGTCCATTACAGGTTTTGAATATGATAGCAAAGGGGCCTCACGTTCTTCTGCTGACCACCCAAGGACATCTCCAAATGTTCCAGGTAATTGTAAGGAACAAGGCCTTTCTGTTTAAATCATAGTTGGAGTCTTATTTGTAATTTTTTTAAGGCATGTGGATTTTTGGTAGAGTGAGAGAGAGAGGCAGCAGACTTACTCTTCCATTGAAAAGAACTGAAGCCCAGTTGTCCGAACCTTTCTGCAGGACAAAAACAATGTTGCCAGGGACAACCGCCAGCTCATCACTCGTCTCGGGAATAAACTCATAGCGCACAATGTGAGGGTCTCCTTCCAAAGCTCTGAAGAGAAGTCAGAATGCACTTGGCATAAGAAATGCATTATCAGCACGTTCGTTAAATACAAAGGCTTGTCTTTGCCATTTGGCTTATACTTTATGTTGAGATGATGATGCTTAAATAAGATGCTTAAAAAAAAGTTTTCACATTTTTACCTTAGAACCTCAGGCTCCTTTGGACCTGAAGGTTCTTGTTCAACCTGTATGCAGGGGAAAAAAGTCACATTAGTAAAAACATGCAAAATTGTTGAAGTATTTCAACAAGTGCCGTATAGAGGAATCTAATCTTGTCACATACAGTATTATGGTCATACAGTTGCAAGAAAAAAAAGAATGTGAAGCCTTTGGAAATGCATGAATTTCTGCATAGGGTCAAAAGCTCCTGAAGTCTTTAAAAAAAAAGTTTGCAAAAGAAGTTCCACAACACTGCTGGCAAGCTATTGTGTTTGAAAGATGAAAGCAAATTTGTGTTGTTTGGAAGTGCATGTTGCTATCAAGACTTCATCCCAACTGTGAAATGTACTGTAGTTGATGGGACATCACGGTTTGGATCTGCTTTGCTACTTCATGACCTGGACGTATTCCTATCAACAATGGCCAATGAATTCCCAATACTTTTTGCTGGCAAACTTAATCTATCAGTCTGCCATTTGAAGGTTGATAGACGATGGGAGTTGCAACATAACACAGTCAGAGTCCCGACTTCAACCCGAAAAAAACAAAAATTTCGTCCAGGTAATTCCAAAGTCTTCACACTTTTTCTTGCAATTTACAGTTCATAAAATGCCAAAGAGTTTGCTTAGTTTGCATTACATGTGGCTGTAAAGGGGCAAATCCAGAGAAGTGATCCTGGGGAACAACGGAAGCAACCACCTAAAAATACCCAAGATATGCAATATCAATGGCCAATGAAGCTACAGTTTGCAGTTTTTGTTTTTGAATTGGTCCATAGAGGATGGATTACCTTGGCTTTTCCCAAGTAGTCCTTTTTCTCCAGTTCAGCAACATAGTGCTTGTTCGGTCGAAACAGCACAGCGGATGGGAACTCGACTGCTTTAAAAAGTTTTTGTTTCTGGTGATGAAATGCAAGCAGTATTTACAAGGGTTAGCTCATCTTCTTTGTTATTGTTAAACAGATAGGGGTTGCAATCAAACTCTATTAAAATATAGTATTTCATGATTGAGTCCCAGAGACCAACGCATCTGAACAGACCAGGGTTGACTGCATGGCTCTGTCGATGATGCTGAGCTTGGCGTCCGTCTTGTATTCGAGAGCCTTCGCAAGGTTCTTCTGGGCCTTTTCCCACTGACCCAAGTGAGCCTCCGCCAGGGCCATGTTGTGCAGGACCTGGCGAGCGACAACTTTCGGAGCTTTTGAAATGCACTTGCAGCGTGTTTAGAACATTGAAGAAAGTTTCATGGGCAAAAGTCTCTTCATTAAATATGTAACTATCAAAATGGCACCTTCGGGTGGAGGTTGTTGGATGCAAACTCATGTTCGAGTGACGCAGTCTTACCTCACATGCATATAACTTGTATCTGAGCCCAAGCGCTTTGTAATCTATCAGCTGGTTGCCCCGCAGAGCCTTGAAGGCAAGGTGGAAATCGCCAACACTTTCCTCATACCTTGAAGGGAACACATCAGGTTTGTTACTTCAAGGAACATTGGAATGGAAAGTATTGCAGTTATCGAGGTGACAAGCAAGACTCGCCGGTTCTGTTTGTAAAAGGTGATTCCTCTTTGAAAGAAGGCGACCGCCAAATGCTCGTCCTTGCATATGCTGCAGTCAAAGGCCTGAGACCAAGATAAATCACGCGTTACTTCCTTCGGAACAAATGAGAAATGGTAACCCCTACTTCTTCTTTTTTAGTGACTTGCACTTTCAATCTATAGAATATCATAGTTCAATTTCAAATTAAACAATCCAAATTTTACGAAATAAATATCTACTTTTCTAATAAAATATTAATAATTATATTTATTTTTACAAAGACTCATTACCTTTTCAGCAGCATCCAGGTTTTGGTTGAGAAGCTGGAGGCAACCGATGTTGAAACAAATTTTGGAGTTTGGCTCTTGGATGTCCAAGAATATTCTGAGTGCTTCAGTCAAATCGCTTCTGTCCACACACGTTATAGCATCGTCCCACTGGCGCAGTGTGTCCAAAAAAGACATTGTTAGTCACAGGGTAGGACTACACTCTGTGATCACACAGCAAATGAAGGAAGCTCCTCTGATGTAGATCAGGAAGTGATGACATTCAGTTGGCACACAGAACTACACCATCACTACGCTTGCCAAATTGCAACAATTCATATCTTAAGGGGACAGACTGTGGAAAATTATTATATTTTGTGTGCACCCAAGTCATGCCACGTTATCAAAATAGTAAAACATGTAAAAAGAAGAGAGCACTAAGCACTAATTAGAACAATGAGCTTGATGTCACCTCTACTCACTTTTTTCCTCTTCCTTGGTTTGAGCAATCGGATTGCATTTACTGTATGTTGAGTCAACTTCAGAGAATATTTAAGTGCAGTATGTTTGTGATAAAAATAAATGTTTTCACAAGTTCAAGAAAGACAAATCAACAAAATCACATGACCCCAAAACAGCCAAAGTACAATCTTTGTCTCAGAACAGTTGATATATTTTGTGCAAAGTAATTTGAGGTCAGAACATATACCAATCAAAGGTCTTGCTTCAGTTTAATTTCCTGCATGAACACATGGCCAGTTTGTTTTGCCTGATTTCGAACTCTAAACATATAAATATATAAAAATAAAATATTTAACGCTATATCATGGCAACAACAACTAAACATTTCACCGAAACGTGTGTGTGAGTGAGAGCCACCAGACAAATCTTTTATTTTGTAATACAAATTACGCATTTCCGTTATTCATCTGGCTGCAGATTGTAACTAAACAAACATGGCTCTGCTTAATGATTAGATTACGGATTTCAATGGCTCGTAAAGAGATGAATAGGCAATATTATGTAAAAACCAAGAGACATCGTGCCAAGTACAAAGCCGTAAATGGAGTTTCGATGCAGTCGTTGGTTTTATGAGCGCTGCGTAGCCTTGTGCGACCGTGTTTACACGTAGCTAGCCCTTCTGTGGGCTAATGTAAGCTAGCAAGATGGACCTTGGAACAATGTTGTACAACAATTTAAAAGATATTACGTGGAGTACGACAGCCTTGCCATTAGATCAACTTGTCAGTGCTTATAGGTTGCCTCAAATCGTCAAGCTGGACAACGGTCAGTCACTTTTTTTTTGACGCTGCAAAGTCTTTGGAGCTAACTTATCTTTTGCTTGCTACGAACTGCGACTTGTGTTTGTGCCATTCCGAATAATTGTCGCCTATATTGTGGAGATTGTATTATGCGTTTGAATTACTGCCCAAATTAGGGGCACGCACGACAAAGCCTTGCAAATAAGGTGCTATTGCTGGTGAGGATGTCAGTGCAAAGACATGATTGTTGATGGCAGATGCATTTGGACGATTTGCAACACTTGGAGATTGCACACATTTTATTGCCCAGGCATGGCAAGTATGCACAAAACGGGATTAAGTCACCACATACCGCGTAGTGCCGATTATCATTAGAGCAGCTGAATATACAAGTGCACTGTAACATTACTCAGTTTGAATATTAACACTGCACTTAATGTACATGTGAAACTAAAGCTTTTGTTATATTTTGGATATTGCAAGGGTGTTAAAGTGAAGCTTAAGGTCTTGGGACAAACTACTCAAAATGTGTCATTGCAATGGATAACAATTTGTCCTTGGGTGTAAATGGCATTTTTTAACACCCCCCCCCCCCCCCCACCCGTTCCAGGCCAGTTGGTCGAAGGGCTTCGAGACAATGACTACCTCTTGATTCATTCCTGTCGTCAGTGGACAACTATTACTGCTCACAGTCTCGATGAAGGACACTATGTGATTGGACCTAAAATAGAAATTCCTGTTCACTATGAAGGTAAGACATCTAAAGTGGGGTACACACTTACTGCTTTTTCAACATCCCACGAGAGGAAAATCCCTCAAATTAGGCCCGATGCTCACTATACTATGTGTGTATCCCGCTGAAGCCGCTTGGCATTCCTGGTAAATTGCCGCATCATTGGCATAGACAAAAGACAGCCAGTAGATTTGGCATGTTCCCCCCATCCCCCTCCCCTCACCCCAAATTCAGGTCAGTTTAAGCTGCTGGAACAGGACCGAGATGTCAAGGAGCCTGTGCAATACTTCAACAGTGTGGAAGAAGTGGCCAAAGCGTTTCCTGAAAGGGTCTACGTCATGGAAGAAATCACGTTCAATGTAAAGGTACGGCTAATCTTTGTAACAGGATAATTGTGGGGTGGGGGGTGGTGAAAACGTTTCTCGCCAGCGATGATTTCTCTCCTTTTACTCCACCCACTGAATTCATGAGGTGATTGGCCGTAAATACAATTCCTAATGGTTGCACTGTGTGGTTTCTTGTCAGATGGCTTCAGGGGAATGCAACGAAGACACTGAAGTTTACAATATAACACTAAGCACTGGCGACGAGCTGACATTAATGGGCCAAGCCGAGATCCTCTACGCCAAGACGTCCAAAGAGAAATCCAGATTCAACACCATTTTTAAGAAGATCGGGAAGCTGAACTCCATCAGCAAGATGGGTCGAGGCAAGATGCCCTGCTTGATCTGCATGAACCACCGCACCAACGAGAGCATCAGCTTGCCTTTCCAGTGCAAAGGTCGCTTCAGCACGTGCAGCCCGCTGGAGCTTCAGATGCAGGACGGCGAGCACACCATTCGAAACATCGTGGAGAAAACGCGGCTGCCGGTCAACGTCACGGTGCCCGGCGCTCCGCCCCGCAACCAGCACGACCTCCACCTCATCCGGGAAGGCCACCGCTACAAACTGGTCAACATTCAGACCAAGACGGTGGTGGTGTGCTGCGTCCTGCGCAGCAACAAAATCCTCCCCGTCCATTTTCCTTTCCACGTGGCCCTGCCTCGCTTTATTGTTCCGGAGGAGCTGCTGCAAGGCGAGCTGTGGCTGGACACCATGGTGCATCGCTGGTTCTCCTTCTGCCAGGAGCAGTTCGACATCGACGACTACTCGCGCGCCGTGCGGGATGTGCGGACGGACTGGAACGACGAGGGCAAGAGCCCCAAGAAGCAGAGCGGCGGCAACGGCAACTGCTGCGGCGGCGGGACCTCCAACGGGTGTCCCAACAGCACGCAGCTGCCCAGCTCGTTAACGTACGCCCGGGACGAACTGACGCAGTCCTTCCACCGGCTCTCGGTGTGCGTGTACGGCAGCAACCTGCACGGCAACAGCGAGGTCAACTTGCAGGGCTGCATGAGCCTCAGCGGCGATTGGGCACTTCTGCCCTCTGACAGCATTCCGACAGAGCCGACGGAAAACGAAAGCTTTTCTGCCGAAATGTTGGACTGCCCCAACCAGCAGGCGTCCCTCATCAAGTCCGACGTTCCCTATGAGGAGCTGTGGTTGGACCACTTAAGAAGCCAGATCCCCAAGTCGTCTTTAACTGAGGGCGGTCAAGCCCTCAACAACGGCTGCGCTACGACGGCGACGACGGCATCGCCGTCTTACCCGCTCGCGTGCCCCCTTGGCCCAGTTACCATTCCCGATGTGGCACTCACGCCGCCGCCAGTTCCGCCCAAATCTGAAGCCGTGAGTATCACCCGCTCATCTCAGCGTAACACTCGTCAGGCCGCGCCTCTCTAACACGTGTCATCAATTTCTAGGTGAAAGAAGAATGCCGCCTATTGAACGCCCCGCCGATTCCGCCGCGTAGTTTGAAACGGATGCCATCGGTCCCGCTGCTGTCCAAGCCTCGGCAGCAAGCCACCCGCTCGCCCAGTCCAACTCTTTCCTATTACTCTTCTGGGCTCCACAGCATGTAAGAAGGCGCATCATGATATGTTGTCATTCACAGGTGGTTTTTCGAATGCGGTTACAAGCCTCACAGGAAACTTCGGGTGTTGGGCTTTGTTTCAGGATGAAACCAAAAATGCCCTTTTTATTCTCCTTTCCTACTGGTTGGGACATTTGACTCGGAACACTTTTCAATTTGGCCTATAAGGCGTCAAAACCCAAACTTACGCGCTCTGGCAGTGCTCACTCGTCATGTTGCGGCAGCACATCCCCAGAAAATGGGTCGACCGAGGGCGAGGGCACGCCGCACTCTGCTAAGTGCAGTGTGAAAAGGCCTTTCTTTCATTAACTCATGAATTCAGGCAGCAAATTCATTTATCAATTCCTTGTATCAGATCTAATTTCTGGGGGATGAAAAAAAAAAATTCACCATCTTCAAGTCCTTTGAATTTTACTGAGACCTTTCCACTCCTTGACAACCCAAATTGCGATAGTACGTTTTTGTTTCGTTTGATCTCAAATGTTGCTAATATTTAGCTCTGCCATTGTATCTAATCTAACGCCCCGACCCCTCGCATCCCCCTCTCAATAGTGGATCGTGCGAACAAGAGGCGTCTGACCCACAAGAAAAAAGCAGCGTGTGCTACCCGTGTAAGTGGTCTCACGCCGCCAGCGGCGAGCCAGGCGTCGCCTTGGTGAGCAGCAGCTTGCCGTCTGACAGGATGTCGTCCAGGTTGTCTTGGCCCAACAACTTCAGCGGAGGTGATTGTCACGCTTTGGATGACTTTCTCCCAGCCGGCTCCCGCAGCTACTACAGTTACCCGCGAAACAGGTCCACGAGCAATCCCAAAACCTGCAGCCTGGTCGACTTTGACAGCCCGGAGCACGCGCGCGGCACCAAAAGTCTCAGGTTGCGGAACCAGTCTCCGAGCAAGTCCTGCACCAAATCCTCCGGTTCCAATTCGGAAATGTACAGAGACGGAGCGCCGGACGAATGCAGCGCAAAGCAGAGGCTCTCTTGCCCCATCCTACCGCCCAGGACAGCAAAGTCAAACAGCATGAAGAGGAGTTCGGAGTTCGCATCGGGACCAGCCTGTGACAGTCAGCAGGACAGCTCCACTTCCTGCCTCGTTCAACAGAGGGAACAGGGAGCACAAGACCCGAGTTCCACCTCCAACTGGGAAACCGCCAGCTCCATCTCGGAGTCCCCTTCAGCACATTGGCAGCCCCCGCCAAGCCTGACCGGCCTCTCCATCGAAGAGGTGTCCAAATCCTTGCGATTTATCGGCCTACCCGACGACATCACCTCCCTCTTTATATCGGAGAAGATCGACGGGAACTTGTTACTGCAGCTCACCGAAGAGATTCTCTCCGAGGACTTCAAACTGAGCAAACTGCAGGTGAAGAAACTCATGCAGTTCATTAACGGATGGAGGCCCAAGATATGACAACAGCCGAGACCGCCTTTGACAAACCGTACATGCTATGCACCCCTCAGCCACAATGTGACCTTGACCGGATTACCCAGTCACCACATTGCGTGCGTGTGCGTGCGTGTGTGTGTGTGTGTGTGGGTGTGGGGGGGAGGGGGCTTCCTTATCACTCTTTAAAATCTGTGACTGTTATTTGCAAACCAGATGGAACCATTTAGCACTTTTTATTGGGTCATTTTTCATGTGGGCAACATGGTTCCTTTTTGTCGTCTGTAGTGTTCTTGTCACCCTCAAGTTGTGGCCAACAAATGTAAAAAAAAAAAAAAAAAAAAAGTGTAATCATTGATGTGACTGGCACAGGGAGCAAGATTATCTGCTAAAGAAACCAAATGATATGGGACTGCTATTTTTTGGGGCATGCAAGGTGCAGGACAGCGTACAGGTTCTCCGCATCGTAAGCAAACTATCTCCAGACCTGTTGATGGGGTGCACACATACTGATTTTGACCATCTTATTTATTTCTTATTTGATGAGATTTTTTTTGAATGTGAGATATCCCATGCATTACAAGAACCTTATCTTAAAAAAGAAAGGTCTTCTCTCTGCTTTTAGGGCGGAGTGGACTCAAACTGACCTGTGTCCAAACTGATACAATATTCAAAGAGAAGAGTTATAGTCTTTAATCGTGTGGGATACCGTAACAGGTTAAAAAAGTTTCCTATAGAGTAGTTTTACCGCTCCCACACAGTTGAAACACATTGAAATGTATTACGTTTTTTTTCTTTTTTAGTCTTCATAGAGCCTGATCTCACTGTCTTGCTCGCAACAGTTCTCTCAAAAGAAGCCCAGTGTGCTTGCTTCAAGCAGTTTGTTTCTCCCAGTTCAAGTTTATTGTAAAGCTGACCCATAAAACATGAGAAGTAAACATTGCATATTTCGATACCAAGCTATAAGTATAATAACTCTGAATCCTGTACGACCCGTTAAAAACAAAGGATCGCTCGCTGTTGTCGAAGAAATAGAAGATTTTAGGCTAACTGTTAGCTTATCCGCTCACGACATTTCAGTTGCTTAACATTTACAACATCAAGATCACAGGAGAATCATTCAGATTCATCTGATAAAAGGCCTTTGGAGACTTTGATCAGACGAGGAGGAACAATAATTCTATTCGGCCTTAATCAGAATGTGTATACCCCGCCTTCTGTTGCCACTTTCAGACAATTCACTTCTCACCTCTTTTGCCACCTTCCTCATTTGCTCGAATGTAACCACGTTCCAATAGCTCAAGCCCGAGGAGAAAAAACACTGAATGTCCATCATGTAGCTTTGGCCACGAGAACCCCATTTTTTTGTCTTGTCAACTTGCAGATGTCTTCCAGTGCAATAGAATTAAGGGCTACTCGCCAGTTTGAATACGATCATTTTGTTCTGTTGTCACGGCAGCGACGTTAACCGGAATTTGTACGGCAAGGTTTTGTTTTTCTCGACATATTCTCTTGAAGTGACACTCACAACGGTACGAAGCTATGGATGGCCATCGATGAGCTTTCAGCAGTTTCTTGTCCACTCTGCCCTCTAACTGTGCCTTTTTACTACCAAACAATGATGAACCTCTTAAGTCAATGTCTCGCTCGAACTAACAATCAAAATATGCATCGCGCACTTTTACTGCCGTTACAGTTCAAGTAAGAACGTCCCAAGACGGAATGCACTTCAAGCTTTTTTTTTTTTTCATAAACTAAAATGGTACATCGTCATCATCAGTAGATTAAGTGTCCTGTGATGAAAAGAAAGGACATTTCATTTTGGCGAAACTTTTTTTTTTTTTGTGCCAACGTCTTGGGATGAGAAACTCGACCTTTAGTATTGTATGAGTGTATTTTATATGAGGGAGTATTACGTCGACCACCCTACTAAAGTTACAAGAGAAAAAAAAAAGTCAGGATGAGAATGTTCCCCCCTCCAGAAAAAGGCAGCATTATGAAAACTTTTTCAAGCAAAAACCTTGTATGTAACTCGTTCCTTGGCAATAATTTTTTATGTTGGACATCGCTTTGACCTTGCGCGCAAAACAACGAATACGTTGAGGTTCCTAACGCCCCCTTGAGTGCGGTCGTTGTACTCCGTGATTTGTTACCTCATCTTCTCTGATGAAATAAAGATCCGTATCTGTACCACACGTTCTTTTTGATCGAGTCTAATGTATTTCTGCAGTTCCTTTCCTCCTCGAATAGAGCGTAAACTATGCAGTGGCGTCCGTTCGCAACGAAGGGGCCTCGATGACAATATGAACACAGAATCGTTTGCTTTCCCCTTTTGGTGTTACATGCTTATTTTGACTTCGTCTAATATGCACATGTACTAACGGAAAATGTTTTTTTTTAATGGAAAACTTTTTTTTTTTAAATTTTGAAATTGCTTTCGTTTGCAAACTTGCTGTGGTTTGTGGGTTCCGCAGCCACATATTTGTATATAAGATGAAATCCGAGCAGCCTAATTTCCATGACAGTTAATAAATGTCCATAGTAAGCAAGGTGAATGTTCCTGTTTCCTGAGACCTTCATTCCTTTTTGGAATTTTTCCTGAAGCCTTCAGTTGTGTTTCAACATACTTTTGTTTCGCCATTGCTGATTGTATTACCCATTAAATGAATTAACAGTACTGTACTCTTACCGGTGTTCTCTTGAGATGATGTAGCACAACATTAGGTACACAAGCACAATAATTATACCGGTAATTCCAGATAAGTGTTAAGTTTTTCGTGTCCACGTTTCTCATCATGCAAACAGTGAGCTGGCGGTGGAAGTGCTCAACATTGTGTTACTGTTCAAACAATGGATGGAGAAAGTATACACCCACACAAAAAAAAAATGACATTGCAAAGTGACAACCTAATGTCAGCGTCATGGTCAATTTTTCCAAACAGTTGTTCATCTTTATTTATCATCAACAATTACAGCAAACAATTTCCTTCAAATGACGTGCAAGACAGTGAATTATTTCATTTCATGATGTCGATCCTTAAAATGTAGTTTAAAATTTGGGGGGGCAAGCATAGTCATGCTTGCTGGCACATTTATTTTCGTGAGCAATTGGGAGAAAGCGCACCCGCTAAACCGGTTTGCGATTAAATGCAGCGTTCGTCATCAGAACCACGGCTCCCAGCCCGCCCACGTTCTCCCCAGCACGTTTGCGTCCGTGGCTTGGTCGAGTAGGCATTCCACCTGCTTCTCCACGGAGAGACCCGCCGACGGTTCCCTCGCGCGGACGTTGTGCTCCGGCGTCCCCAGGGCCACCGACTGCATCCCCTGGAAGGGTGGAAGCCCCTCAAAGCCCAGCTTGAGCTCTTCACTGGAAACGAGAAAAACAGAATACCAAGAGAGCAGGCATAAACAGGAGTCCCTTCAACAATACACTGCAACTAATTAACAAGTTGTCATGTGGTGCGCATACCTGATGATGGTGGCGGGATTTGTGCCCTCCAATTTTTGTCTCGCAAAGTTCACCTTTTGCAAAGGGTACCAGTTGATTTCTTTGGTATCCACGCTGTCTGTCCACGTACCTCCCTTCTTCAGTTGCTTGATTTCAAAGTTCTGTTTAAGGGAAAACGTGTGGATTGCAGTGATTACAAAAAAAAAAAAAAAACATTGACAAGACCAACAACACTTTATAGCGGTGGTGTCCAAACTTTGGCCTGGGGGGCATTTGCGGCCCGCCAAGCGTGTTTTAAAAAGTTGAATTTTTAAAGTGGCCCTTTCATTCTTCTATTTTTCTGTATGCGGCCCCCCAAGGAAAAAGTTTGGACAACCCCGCTTTATAGGAACACGTGCGGGCGGACCTTCCAGTCCAACGACGGCTCCTTGACGAACACATCCATGGTGTTGAGCAGCAGGTCCGGCTCGTTCCTGTATGCTCGGAGGGAGTGCGCCATCACACTCTGGATCAAACCGGACTCCTTCAAGGGTTGCATCAGGTTCACAAACTGTCTGGTCAGCCGGAAAGGCATGAGCTCGGGCACAGCGAGGAACTGGCAGGAAGAGCCGCCACGCTCAAGTTAGCAACACCCAGACAGTGAAATGACGCACGCACTTTGAGCAATTCCTTGTGAAAAAAGCTCAATTGTGGCCGTCATTCTACCTGTGTGGCCGAGCCAAACGCGTGACCGAAGTCGATGCCGATCATGCCTCCCGTTTCCGTGTTGATCATGAAGTTGGAGAGATGCCGGTCGCCGATGCCCAGCACCCAATGGCTGACGCACAGTAAAGCGTGAGAGCTGATGAAGTGGGAACGCAGCGAAAGATAGGCTTCGGGACTGTTGCACATCTTTAGGAAAGCTCTCCTAAAAATGAAGGAAAAAGAAAGAAAACAAAAAGACAACAGATGTTTGATGATTTTTTTTTTCTCTTCAGTGATCAACTCTCAGAGGAAACGTACTTGAGGAGATCAGCGGGCACTTGCTGCAACACTTTGGAGAAGTTATTGACGGTCTCAGGGCGTTTTGCTTTCCTGCCAAAGAATCAACAATGCCTCGAAATATTAGACGGATGCTAAAACTGCATTTTCGTAGTTTCAAAACGAGCGTAGGGTCACTTACACGTAAGCTAGAGCGTAGGGTTTTATGGGAGACTTTTCTGCTTTTGGAGAAAAGGTGGACAGCCACTTATTGTAGATGTCAGGACATCTGGAAAAACAGCACAGTTACAGCTTACAAAAAATAAATAAATACAAAAATCTTATTTTGGTTCCTGTTCCCCCAAAGGTCGTCATGGAAACAGAAGCGTATCGCTGACGTGTACCTGGCTGCCCTGAGGGACTCCTCCTCTGTCATAGCGGCTGCAAGGAACTCCTTCAAAGTGCACGTGTTCTCCATCCATTCAATGAGTCCGATTCTGTAAAGATCAAAGACCGGGGGCGTCATTTTCGTACGGTATCGTTGCGCGCGATTTTTAATGTAATCTCTATCATTTTTTTTTTTTTTAAAAATGCGTGAGCTCAGACACTGTACCTCGTGTTGATGGGGATGACTTGGTAGGTGCGGAGCTGCAGGCCTCTGCGAGCGCATGCGGCGTCGTGACTCAACAAAATATTCATGACGGCAAAGAGCTGCTCGATGCGCTGGTCCTGTCGGAGGTCTTCGCCACCTTTGACCAGGAAAGGGTGGTCGCGCTCGTCGTCGCCGCGGATGATCAGACGCTTGGGACGGCGAATGGACGACATCACCTTGACCTGCACGACACAACAGAGACGCAGCCGAGCCGTGAGTTGAACGCCGCCGAAGTTGTCGAAATCGATTTGTGCTGCAGTCGGACCAAAACTGTTGACATATATGGAGAGACTTAATTCAGTTTCCGATATTTCCCAAAGTCTTCAAATCTGAGCAAAAGTTGACGAGTCGTAATACTTACCCTCTCATCAAAGCCGGTTATCTTGGCATGATACTCGGGCAAAGGTTTGGATCTGCCATCGTACTGACCTAGAATCCAGAATAATGTCCTCGCATGGAGGAAAACAATGAAAAGAAACTCGTCGGTGTCGGTCAACAGCAAGAATTCCACCGGATTCCAAGACCGTCGTACAATCTGAGCTCAACGGTCTTGGCGGATGATAAAATTGACTGACCGGGGATCTCCAGCTGGTTTCTGAACGGGTCTGCCTGAAACGCACTCAGCCAGGGCGAGTACTCCTTCAGGTTCCCGGGTTCCTTCTGATAGCCCCGCATGGACGACGCAAACTGATCCACGCCGCGCACAAAGCTTTGGTCTTTCCTCTTCGCAAATAGCTTGCAGCCTTTTCTTCCCAGCAAATTCTCCACGTCTTTCGCAAATTTCTGTGGATGAAATAGCGCAATAGTTTTCCGCTGGTTATATTTCTGCTCTTTGCTGTCGCCAAATGTACAAATTATGAACTACAAATCCCCATGGACGCCAATGACTTGATATCTTTCAAATTGCTTGCAAGGTTATAAATGTCAGCGTCGGAGTTACAATAAAAAAAACAAAATCATTGTACAAACTTGGATAAATGTCTTGCGAAACATCCCGTGACCCTCTTTCTTGCTGTCCCCGAGCGAAGAATGCATCTCGTTGTACATGTTCTCCATTTTCTCCTTGTCGAAGTCACTTTTTTCCAGTTCGTTTTTCACATTTTCCCACCAATCCTGAAGGTGCCACAAAACAACGAAAATAAGTCAAACGTGGGGCAGCTCAACTTGCGTCGCGGCTAACATGGCAACTATTACCCTAAAAATCATATCGGGGTTTGTGAGCTGTTGCAGCGCATCCACAAATTTCTTCACAGCTTCTCCCTTGTCCAGCATGCTCTTTAGCCTGTGGATACAAGCGCAACGCACACCATTAAAAAGTGAATACAACTTAAGATACACCCCTTTGGAATTTGCATTTTAAATTCCCCAAAAACTTCCGCATGGGTGAGAATCCGACTGTGTCCCCAGATTCGGCTTGTTTCGGCTTCACCTGTGTCACCTTCATGAGGAAGTGTTCAATGAGAAACGGATGACTATTTCTATTACCTGTTGACAAATTCCCGCTGTCGGTGGCCAGTGGCGGAGTCCTCAAAGTGATAACTTTCACTACTGATCATCAACGCGTAAACCAGAGCTTGGGGGTAGCTTTCCGCTATCTGCTCAATGCAGCTCTGCACGGCCACGGCTTGAGGCTTGTCCAAAAGGGCCACCATCTGACTGATCCAACCAATCAGCATCCAGCAAGGGACCGATGCCATCTACGTACGCAAGAATGATGCTGATCAGGAACAACAACAAAAAAAAGCCCCCCCCCCCCCCCCCCCCCCCCGCCCCCCCCCCCCCAGGACACAAACCTCATTTGTCATGAGGTCCAACGTCTCGGATGGATACAACTCGATGAGCTGCAGCAGTCGAGGGAACTTGAGACGAGCCTCCTCCGAGTTCATTTTCAGGGCTTTCAGCATGCATTTCACAACATAGATTGGAAGGGTCAAGAGGTCCGGGAATTGACTGTCTGCAAGCAATAAATGATCAACATTTTTTATTTCCGCTAGAATGGGGGTTGGGGGGGCTAAATTTGCAGACTGACTTGTGTCACCCTGATCTTCCTGACGCAGCAGTTTGTCACAGAAATCAGCCAAAGACATATATGTGTCCACAATGCTGCCGGTTTCCACGCATTCCTCTTGATACGTTTGCAGCTCCTCATCAGCCTTTTTGGTGGCATCGCACATTAGCGTCAACGCTCGCAATTGCAGCCCCACTTCCACTTTCTGCAGGGAAAATATCGTTCAATTAAAAACCTGGACATATGGAAACCAAAGTCCTGTCGACAAATCCTGCGATTGTCGTCGGTGGAAGTGCTCTGACCTTCAGGTCTTGCGTCGGCCAAGCGCTCTCTGAAAGTTGGACGATTCTTTCTGCTTTGTCAGCTTCAATCGTTTCCAAAACTGAAGGACTTTTGCGTACAGCCAAGGCCATGATGTGGAAAGATGTTCCTTGAAGGATCTTTTGGTCTCGGTACACTTCAGGTTGGGCATTCCGGCAGTCAACCTCAATCTCCTCTGCAGGAAAACATTTTTTTTTTAAATTTGGCCATTTATCAAGCAGTTACCGTCGTTGAGTTTTCGCGACATGCCCTGTAGCTTCATGCTCCTTGCGAGTGTTTTCATTTTGTATTTGTGACGTTTTGGCACTAACTCACCCAAAAGTGGGACAGCTTTGAGCATGATATTGAGTTGCTCCAAAGGACCCTGAGCTTGGCACCGCTTCTGGCTGTACCGGCTAAAACTGTGGACCCAGCGCCGCAACCATTTCCTGTTTGTTTTGGCATCTTTGTGAAGTTCCTTCATCAAATTGGTGGCCACAGAAAAGTTATTCTGAAAGCGACAACACATTTTTCTTTTTGTTACGACGAAGGCCGCGATGTGACAACAGTCTTGCGTATTCGTTTCGGTCGGGTCACCTGCTTCCTTGCGCTATCAGCCATGTGCAGTTTCATGTTGAACTTGCAGTTGTTAACTAGACCGTTGAGGTCCTCTGGGCCGCCGTCCGCGCCATCCACCTCCATGCTATCAGCGTCAGTATGGCTTTGAAGCTTTTCCCTGATTTTGTCCAAGAAGAAACACCTGGGCAGAAGACAATCAAAAAAAAAAAGTTTTCTGAACTGCTCTGACGAGATCATAACCCTCTTTTTCTTCGTTCCTCACCGGGATGTAATTATATCGTCCCAGATGTTCACCGGATCCATTTTAGCATCGGGATATCGCTCAGTCCATGAACCGATGAGCCGCTTGAGGGAAGTCACAGACACTAATTCATACATACAATGAGTGTCAGTAAGCTCGGGAAAACAGATCCTGTTGTCCCCAGAACCTTTGCCGGGTGTAGTAAACCAGCCCCAGTCTCATCAGTTATTTCTGTGAGCCATGCGGGTTTTTTTCCTTTCTTGAAGTCAACTCCTCACCTTCTCCTTTGATGAAGTGCAGGAAGTCCTGGATTTCCGTCAAGGCCTGCACTGACTGCAGGATGGTAAGGCGACTTTGAGTCAGCAGCGTATCCACACTTGAGTAACTCTACAACGCATAGAGGGGAGTAAAAACCCATTAAAAAAAAAAAAAGAAATGTGGCCCAATCTCCTTTCATTTTCAAAACATACCTCCATGAACATCTGCATGGCGGAGTTGCTGTAGTATTTAGCGCGGTCGTAGTCCTCCTGCAGGACGTAGAGCAAGCTGAGCTCTTGGCTGTAACGGCTCTCCAGCAGCTTTTTGCGCTCCTCCACCTTCATGGCTTGGTCCATAAAGCTGAGAAGACTTTGGTCGCTCTCACCCAACTGCAGGAGCTTGAGCATGCTTCGAATCATGTGCGGCAGGTACATTTCCTAGAAGAAAACAAAACGACTTAAAAGCATATAAGCAACGTTTGTACGCTCGCCATGACAGTTGGCGAATCGGCCTCACTCGCGCTGGAATGAGAATGACTCAGCCGAGAAAGTAAAATGTCATTTGACTTACCTGGTAGAGAGGCTCGAGCCACATGTTGTCAAGGTTAGCAGGGCTATTTTCATCGATGTAAAACGTGGAACAGTACTGAAGCGATTTCCAATCAGTCAAATGGCCGTAGGCCTCCATTGCGGCTATTTCCCAAAAGTCCTTCTCAGACTCTGTGGGCTCGCCCTCAGTCCAGTCTTTCGTGTTCAGAGCCTAGCAATGATGGAAACACACACAAAAAAAAAAAAAAATCAGTTCATCTGCCGTTGATGCATCAGCCAAAAAAGAAGGGCTCCCATACCTCATTGTAAAGCTTAGCAGCTTCAGCAAAGTCGGTGCTGGCTTCGGCTCGAAGGGCAGCGCTGGTGATGGGCATGGTTCCGACTTTACCCGCAAAGATTCCGCGGACAACATCATAATCCTCCAAGTCTCGATAAAGCCTATTGGACGAAGGGGGGAAAAAAAATCATATTACAAAGTGACTCAAGCTCAAGTCAACTACTGAACTTGAGTACCTTGCAAGGTGGACCCATTTCTGGGTGTCCGGGGGGATTTCTTTGCGCCCCCGTGACCTTTTGGCGGGAGGCTCGTCCTGGACGCCAATGTGCAGCAGACCTTCTTCCAAAAGCAGAACGCCCGATGGCTGCTGGAGACTTGCGAGGCTTGTGGAGCTGATAAGCGCTGGATCAATATGCAGCAGGTCTTTATGCTGGTAGCACATGTCCTGGTGGAGTAAAATCATTTACAATGAAAACAATTGTTCATAAATTGCACTAACAGGGAAGCTACAGTACAAAAGCAGTCAGAGCCCTCAAATTTGTCACATCCTCTCGCTAGAGAGAGAAAAAAAAAATCGGAAAAATTTGTTTGCGGGTTCGACAGAGACATACCTGCACGCATGCTATGAACGGTGGGAAGCAGAGCGTACTCTTGTCCAGGAATTTGTTCATGGTGCATCGAAGGTCCTCTTTAATTTCAACTGCTTGCTGCCTGGGTTTCTGAGTTTCCATTTCGTGGAGGATGCCGCTAAAGAGTGAACTGAACAGCTGCTTGGCCAGGATTGGATCTCTCTAAGAAGAAAATCGACATGGATGACATTCTGGTATTTAGAAGCTACGCCATGCCGGAAGGAAAGCGGCGGTCAAGTCACCTGTGCAACGGCTTGAAGGGGGGCAATCAGGTTACTGTATGGGATTTGAATGTCTGGAAAGTCGCCCACTCTGTAGTTGCGATACAGTGTCACTTGAGCTTCTTTTCGCAGCCTCTGATCAGCTTTTTGCTCCTGCAGACGACGGAGAAGCAAATTTGTTTCATTTGACATCGATCAGACTCGACACTCGATACATTTTGAGGGCTCGTCTATTACCTTGAGTCGTTTTTGTCTTTGAACCTCTTTTTGTGCAAAAATGAGGCTTTCCTCCTGGTCCTTGAGAAATCTGCGTCTCAATTGAAGGATTTTTTGACGTTTTTCATTTTCTTCTGTTGAAAAGAGACACAATAGATCCCTTTTTTTCAATGCCGTCCCGGGCCGTACACAGTTAGCATTTTCAAGATAACAGAATTTATGTATTTATTTTTTTAATATTGATCCTTCAGAGCTCATGACAAAGCTGACTGACCTTTCGCGTGACTGTCCACCTCGTCTGTCGATGCAGTGAGGCGCCCTTGTCCAAAGCTTTCCCCTACCGGCCGTCTCGCTGTACTTTGCCTCGCCGCTTTCTTCTCAAACACCATCAAGGAGGACAGAGACTCGGACGCCGAATACTCGGCAACCGTGTCGACGCTGCTGCCAGTCAGCCAGTTATATGTTGTGTGTCGACCTGTCAAAGGAATAAGTGACCTGTCACCCCTAAACTTGTCACAGTTGCTACCGAGGTATCTCCATGCTAAAAAAAAAAATATGGAAACGATGCGATTAATTAGCGGTACCGGCTATTTGGGTTTGGGTAAACTGAAGTGAGGTCTGAGTGGCTCGAAGCTTCCCCTTCATGGCTCCTGGTTGGGAAAGTGTCAGGGTCTCGGGGCCTTGAGAGCTTTGCGTTTCAACAAACATTGGAGTCATCACTGTATTCCTGAAGCGCCAGTTGGAATCAATCAAATAATCCTATTGGGTGGAAGAGGAACAGTTTCGAGATCGGTCCATATACAGTCAAATGTGTTTCAAAAAAAAAAAAAAAAAAAAAGAAAAAAGAAAAGGACCTGGAAGGTGCACTCTGAGAGCGGGTACTCAAATATGTTTCGTTTGAAGTCAGGACTCTGACTGGTCATTTCCAACAGGAGATTGGTTGCCAGGCTTAAGAAACATCTCTCGATTTGACAGGTGTACAACGAATGAAGCACGGTCAACATTCGCTCCAGCGTTGTGCTCGGGAGACGCTTTTCCTGACTCCAGAAATTACGAACGTACAGCCTGAAATTAAGAATCGTAGACCGGGGATTATGATTGCCAGAACCAAAACAACAATTCAACAGATTACATTTTATGTACTGTAATAGGACGTATCACTTGAGTGTCTAATCGCTTACTGAAGGCCCTGGTTCTCCTCGGACAAGCCTTGAAGTAGTGTCTCTTTCGCTGTATTCAAAACGTCCAGCGAATTGCTGTCTGTCATGCTCTCGTCATCACTAGAGGAGACGACGACAGCGCGGCGGTCGAGTGGCCAGAGCAACAAAGAGCGAAATTAGGATTGAAGTCAATCAATATCTATTCTGTTCATTATTTGCGATCGATGCATTCAAGCACACCTGTAGTTGTCCTGGATCCACATGAGGATGTCGTACATTCTCTCTCGGCACACCGGCGACGGGTGGGAGACAAATGATGTCACGGCTCCAAGGATCTCCTGAAGTTGAGGTGGAGTCAGGCGAGGAAGAATTTTGCGGATGATTTCGAGACACACTCTCTGCGTTGCTTCGTCCCTGAAGGACATGACATGTTTGGGTGAGATGTCAAGATAAACTTAAAATGCACTAAAACCTTGTTCTATCTGAACTCAAATACATCAACAAAAGGAGCTCCTCCATGAGTTGGAGAAAAACAAACTGGTTGACGCTTACCGATGGCCCATCATCTGAATGAATCCTGTGGTCTTGAGCTGCAAAAAAATGTCCGGGATGACTTCAGCTCGACTCAGCACACACTCCAGACAGTTCATTTTTAAGATGCCGTGCATCTTGGGCAGCTGGTAGAACACGGCACTCACAAACCTGCAAGAGCCAAAAGAGGAGTAGTGTGCAGCCACTGTGCTTTGCAAACCTTTAATTTTTTTTTTTTGCCAATGTGCACGCAAAGCAATGCTCACCTATCCATAAAAGGAGGAAAGTGCTTTGACACTTTGTTCACACAAATAATGAATTTGTCATTCATCTCTCTTTTCTTCAGACTTGTGATCTGACCGGCAGCAAGATGGAGAAGCTCCAGGTGATGCTGAGGGGGGAAATCATTTGGAAAGGTTACGCCTCACTCTAATTACGAACGTCTCATTTGATATTCATTTCACTTCTTCAATGTATTCCCACGAGAACAGTCATTAACAACCGGCGCGAGGAACATCTCGTACGTTTTCCTCGTCAGTCGTGTTCTTCAGGATGAGTCCGATAATCTCGGCGGCGGCTGAGTAGACGTCCTTATACCGGACAAAGGTCATGTTGTTGGTGAGGGACTTGATGTACCTGTCGTGACAAGCGGTACGGTTGAAGAGCAATCAATGCAGGGAGTCCTTGTCCGTCGATGTTTCGAGCAGCACACAATTAACTAACTGACCAAATTATCGATTCAGTATCTCTTCTTATAATTACATCCCGTTAATAAGAAAAATGAATGGAAAAAGTCATTTCCTCAAAGACAATTCGACATGGGATACACTTCAGGAAATAAATGACACGTTAATGTCAATCTATTTACTCCGTGTGAATGATTTTGATTTTATTCGGAATGCCTTATTAGCAAACAGCATTAGTATGATCACTCGTACCGAGGTGATGAATTAACAGGCTGCGCGAGGACGCCCGTGCCGTTTTTTTTTTCATTCCACGCAGGTTTACCTATCGTACGGAATTCCACAGGAGGCATCGTAAGCAGGGAGGTTGTTGGCCAGGACGATTCCAAGCAACTGAAGTCCGACAGAGTTGTCTTTACTCTCTGGGTCCGTGCCGCAGAAGCGCTCATATATCAGACTAAAATCAAACATGAAGTGAAAACACCAGTTGTTATTATTTTTTTAAATTAAGAAAAGTACATTACCATTAAAGACATTTATTGTTACGGGTGGCAGCTCTGACATAATATTCTAAAACCCTTCAAGCAAGAACAATATCAATCCAACATGTGGGTTCTTGTTTTTTTTTTTTTTGGAGGGGGTGCTGGAACAGGAATAAAAGGACTACCTACCTATGAGGCACATAGAGACAGTCTTTCCAGCACTCCACCAGAGTACGGATGATCTCCAGATTATGGCGAAACTCGGGAGACGCTTTTCCTGACTCCAGAAATTACGAACGTACAGCCTGAAATTAAGAATCGTAGACCGGGGATTATGATTGCCAGAACCAAAACAACAATTCAACAGATTACATTTTATGTACTGTAATAGGACGTATCACTTGAGTGTCTAATCGCTTACTGAAGGCCCTGGTTCTCCTCGGACAAGCCTTGAAGTAGTGTCTCTTTCGCTGTATTCAAAACGTCCAGCGAATTGCTGTCTGTCATGCTCTCGTCATCACTAGAGGAGACGACGACAGCGCAGCGGTCGAGTGGCCAGAGCAACAAAGGATTGAAATTAGGATTGAAGTCAATCAATATCTGTTCTGTTCATCATTTGCGATCGATGCATTCAAGCACACCTGTAGTTATCCTGGATCCACATGAGGATGTCGTACATTCTCTCTCGGCACACCGGTGACGGGTGGGAGACAAATGATGTCACGGCTCCAAGGATCTCCTGAAGTTGAGGTGGAGTCAGGCGAGGAAGAATTTTGCGGATGATTTCGAGACACACTCTCTGCGTTGCTTCGTCCCTGAAGGACATGACATGTTTGGGTGAGATGTCAAGATAAACTTAAAATGCACTAAAACCTTGTTCTATCTGAACTCAAATACATCAACAAAAGGAGCTCCTCCATGAGTTGGAGAAAAACAAACTGGTTGACGCTTACCGATGGCCCATCATCTGAATGAATCCTGTGGTCTTGAGCTGCAAAAAAATGTCCGGGATGACTTCAGCTCGACTCAGCACACACTCCAGACAGTTCATTTTTAAGATGCCGTGCATCTTGGGCAGCTGGTAGAACACGGCACTCACAAACCTGCAAGAGCCAAAAGAGGAGTAGTGTGCAGCCACTGTGCTTTGCAAACCTTTAAGTTTTTTTTTTTGCCAATGTGCACGCAAAGCAATGCTCACCTATCCATAAAAGGAGGAAAGTGCTTTGACACTTTGTTCACACAAATAATGAATTTGTCATTCATCTCTCTTTTCTTCAGACTCGTGATCTGACCGGCAGCAAGATGGAGAAGCTCCAGGTGATGCTGAGGGGGGAAATCATTTGGAAAGGTTACGCCTCACTCTAATTACGAACGTCTCATTTGATATTCATTTCACTTCTTCAATGTATTCCCACGAGAACAGTCATTAACAACCGGCGCGAGGAACATCTCGTACGTTTTCCTCGTCAGTCGTGTTCTTCAGGATGAGTCCGATAATCTCGGCGGCGGCTGAGTAGACGTCCTTATACCGGACAAAGGTCATGTTGTTGGTGAGGGACTTGATGTACCTGTCGTGACAAGCGGTACGGTTGAAGAGCAATCAATGCAGGGAGTCCTTGTCCGTCGATGTTTCGAGCAGCACACAATTAACTAACTGACCAAATTATCGATTCAGTATCTCTTCTTATAATTACATCCCGTTAATAAGAAAAATGAATGGAAAAAGTCATTTCCTCAAAGACAATTCGACATGGGATACACTTCAGGAAATAAATGACACGTTAATGTCAATCTATTTACTCCGTGTGAATGATTTTGATTTTATTCGGAATGCCTTATTAGCAAACAGCATTAGTATGATCACTCGTACCGAGGTGATGAATTAACAGGCTGCGCGAGGATGCCCGTGCCGTTTTTTTTTTCATTCCACGCAGGTTTACCTATCGTACGGAATTCCACAGGAGGCATCGTAAGCAGGGAGGTTGTTGGCCAGGACGATTCCAAGCAACTGAAGTCCGACAGAGTTGTCTTTACTCTCTGGGTCCGTGCCGCAGAAGCGCTCATATATCAGACTAAAATCAAACATGAAGTGAAAACACCAGTTGTTATTATTTTTTTAAATTAAGAAAAGTACATTACCATTAAAGACATTTATTGTTACGGGTGGCAGCTCTGACATAATATTCTAAAACCCTTCAAGCAAGAACAATATCAATCCAACATGTGGGTTCTTGTTTTTTTTTTTTTGGAGGGGGTGCTGGAACAGGAATAAAAGGACTACCTACCTATGAGGCACATAGAGACAGTCTTTCCAGCACTCCACCAGAGTACGGATGATCTCCAGATTATGGCGAAACACCGACCTCCTTGGGTGAAAGCTATGCTTCATGAGAAACTCCAGCAGCCGATTGGCGAGCACTTCATCCCTGACGTTCCCCTGCGGTAAGAAAATACTCTTACGATTGTCAATGTTTTGCCGGGCCCTCATGCAAGTGGATACCGACAGTAAAAATTCACCTGTGCAAATTTTCGGGTTATTTCAACAAGAGCAAGAGCGCAAATAAGCGAATATACAACCTTGGGTCTCGCTACGCTTGTCCAAGATAACGCCGTCACCACAATATCCACAACCATAAAATGGATGCCCTCTCCTCCATTGCTTCCAGATACAACAAGCTGTAGGAGTGGCCCCAGCCAGTGTTTAGCATACGGACGGAAGACCTGCAGAAAAACACGACAAAAAAAAAAAAAAAAAAAAAAAAAACACCCAACATTTTTCCATTTTTAAGTCAACAGATATGGTGTCCGAGAGTTGACTTCTAGTCAAATCAATTGATATTCACCTCCTCTGTGTTGATGATTAACTTAGAAATGAAGAGTCTGATATTGAGCGCTGTGGCTGGATTCATTAATTTCCCATGTAGAAATTTCATCCATGGAGGAAGGTCACTGGGCACGTTTCCCTATTTCATCGACAAAGGGAGAGCCTTGATCAATGACAGTAACAGTGTCTCCCTGTTTTTTTTTTTTTAACAATGAAAACATTTGGCTTTATTGACCTGCTCAATTTTGGGAGTGATGTTGTTCCTTTGCATGTGACCGATGAGAGCTGTCATGCTCGCCATACATTCATGCTGGTTGAGCTCATCCATTTCCAGGTCCACCGTTGCCGTCGGGGAATAAGGCGCCTCTTCTATCTGCTCGACGAATAAATACAATCACATCATGTTTAATGGACAAAAAAAAAAAAAAACCCAAACAAACAAACATGGCAAGCTTGAGTTCAATGAACACAGCTCACGGTCTTTGCTTTGGGGCGTCGCTCCCCTTCAGGCTTATGGGAGCTGTAGGAAAAGCTTTGCACGCCGGTGGAGAAATCAAACTGGCTCATTTCCTCGCTCAGACTGCTGTCGGCCATGTAGGACTGGGAGGACAGATACACTGGTACCTCTTTAGACACCAAAGAAGTGTATTTGGAGTTAGCCACAAGGACGAGACTCAACTAACATCGCTACCACAAAACACAGATTTCATAATCAACAGCAGTAAATAGGATTAGATGAAATACCTCCATTCTCTTCGCCCACTTCTTTTCGAATCATAGTATATTTCTTCTTTCTCTCGAGCGGGACCTGCATGGATAAGGATATAAAAGGATGAAATGTTGCCTTTTTCTAAACTTAAAAAAAAAAACACCCTAACATACCTCAATGACAACTGGGAAACTGTAGGTCCTTTCAACGTCAATGATATTTTCCAAAATTAACTGGTTCTGGACAAGTGGGGGGAAAAAAAAAACAACAACTCAATTGATTTGTGACACATGAGTAACGGTGACAGTTTGCATGGATTTAGCCACACCTTTTCGGGCTTGTCACTGAAGAGGAATCCATAATAGAATTTGGGCTCACTGAAGCTACAGCTGACGGCAGCGATGGCGCAGTTGTACGCGGCGCAGCGGTACTGCCTCCGAAGCTCGAGGAGCTGCGTCTCCCCGGCCATGTTCTCGGTGAACGTTTCAAAACATGACCTGCGATAAACGATGGCAAAGATTTCCGCTTCATCGTGTAGCCGTGGGAAACGGGGTACAAAAAACACGTTACTGTCCCTCGGCATCTTACTTGAGCAATTTCTTTGAGAGCTCGTTCCCTTCAGTTTTGTCTGAACCGCAGTAAGCCGAATTGATGCGCGACTCCTTTGAATAAACTTCCTCTTTGGGAAGCCGAGAATACAGGAGCTCCATCAGCTTGAAGCAGCCGTTCTTCTTGGACAATTGCATCTCGAATGCTGATTCGCTTGCCTGGAAAAAAAAAAACATTCACGAGTGTATTCCTCTGATCTCACGAAAACGGCATAATAATACAGTGAGGGTTCAAGAGGCAATGCGGTAGGTACTTTATCATTGCAGGTAAAAAAACAAAAAAAAGACGAAGAAAAATGCCCAAATCAAACAAACCTTGGTGAAGCGACTGGAAAGCAAAGCCATTATGTCCGTGACATTTGCCACAAAGAAGTCACCGAGTGTCTTCATGCTACAGTGCGAGGCGAGAGGCAACAGAACTCTTTCCACCATGCCCTGAAGCACACTGCTCCTCGGCACATCCCCCTGTTGGATCACTCCATATATCGCACACAGCAGCTGTAACTGCCGTTCACTGCTTGGTCTGATCACACAAAGAGGAAATGATATTTAAAAAAAAAGAAAAAATACACAAACAATGACAACAACGTTAGTACAGTTAAATGAACTTTGCTGACCGTTGAGCAATTCTTTGAAAGCACGTTTGAAATTGCTCCTCCATGATGTGCTTTCTGTCTCGACACAGAATTCCGGCAAGCAGTTTGAGCAGAAGCGGGCTCTGAGAAAGCTCCAGCGCATCCAGCAACTGTAACGCAAGTGATCTTTGTTTCAAACAAGTTCCCAATGCCAGTCCAACTTTTATTTGACAGACAGTCTCGTTAAAACTTGACTTTGGTGTTAACCTGCCTCGATGCTGTTTCCCTTAAGGCAAACGGATTACACACGACACATTCTCTACATAAAAAAAAAAAAACTGCACATTTTTTTCTTTTTTCTCAGCTAAATAAAAAATAAAATAAAATAAAATCACTCGCCTTTCTAATGCAGTCCATGTAGTTGTTGCGGTGAAGGGAGCCCTTTGCAAATTCATCAGACTGCATGGGAAAGTGAGAGGCCACCAGGCACTCGAGTGCTTTTTGCAGCTCAGCCAGTGGCTCCTCTGGGACAGTTGTAAAGAATGGCAACACCAACAGGGCTTGACTCTAGACAGATGAGGAAACGCAGCTAAAAACACAGACAAACTGGTAATTGGCCAACAGAGTGGCTTTCATGTGCCATCATTTTGACCTTGAGATTCAGTGGTAGGCTCGTGTCGACCAGGAGCATGGTAAAAGTCGAAAACACTGGCTTAAAACCTTCGTGGTTGACATTGGAGCACACGGACGAGTCGATCTGAGAGGGGAAAATATGATGAACAAACAATTCAAAGACGCTCGATCGGGGAAACCAAGCTTTCCCCGAACCGCACATCTCTGATTATTACAACTAACTTGTGATGATCTATTTCAGGAACCGAAGCGAAGTGACATCAGAATACCTGTAAGAGTTTGGAGAGGAGCAAAAGCGTGGCGGTTTTGCTCTCTGCGTTTGAAGCGTGGCCTGCCCACCACGACTGCAGGCTCCTCCACCCTCGCAGCACCTCCTCCACCAGCTGTTTTCCCTGAGTCTTCCGAGACGAACGCTCTCGAAAACTGTGGTCCAGCATGCCGTTCAGCAACACACTGACCTGACATTAAAGCAGAGAAGTTCACCATCTTTGAATAGATATTTGAAGGTTACGAGCGGCGCGGCGGCGCAAGAAGGGAAAGTGGAAACAAAACCTATTTACCATGCTGGGGTTGAGAGAGGAGGCCGTCATGAGACGAGGTACTGTGGTATTCATGTTTCGGAGCAGTTCGGTGTTGATGGCCGTCGGGAAGAGGCTGTAGAAGTACTCGGCATGGGAGAAGCTCAGGAAGCTTTGGCAGTGACTTCCAGTCAGCAGGATGTCCAGTAGCTGCTCACCCTATTTGAAAAGGCAACAGGTGGCCAAAGAGTCATCGCCCGACCAAAACTCAAATCTTTCTGTACTTTAAATTGGACTACTGTTCAAATGAAACTTTGTCTTCCAGAACACAGCGCTGACCATTTGAGAGATGGAAAAGGCAAGCTGAAGCAGGCCCTCGGCAAGCTTCTTGGTATTGATGTCCAAGGATGGAAGCGACTTCCTGTCGCCGGGTGCTATTCCGTTATACACCGTCAGGAGAAGCGATTTGGCGGGATCTGCATCCTTCATGACAAACGACAACAGGGTAAAAAAAACAACAACAAATGACAAACGACAACATCAAGACCAAAAAAAAAAACATTGTCAACACGAGGCCATCAAACTTTGTGTATGAAAGCAAAGTCAGGGTATGAACCTGGCTCTTCAGAATGGAGTGGAGGAAGCCAGCTTTGTGGATCTGCTTGCATGAAGACAGAACCATTTCCAACTGGCCGTGGTCTCCAGAGTGGTAAAAGTCGACAGCACACAGCGCCTCGACACTGAAGGGCAACAAAAACAAAATACAAATCGGTCAATGAGACCAAGTAGCACTTGTTACAACAGAAATGACCTCTAGCTACAGAAAAACTGTATGTGCACATTTTAAGTGTCATTAAAGTATCCTCTTGAAATGTTCTCCAACAAAGCACAACTCTGTCAGGTCTGACAATTTTTATTTTTATTTTTTTTAATAATTTTGTCTTTTCAATTTGTTACCGGCATCTCCAGTGAAGGATTATGATCGCTCTTTTTTTTTTAGCTCTGCAACTGATTGCCAAAGACAAAAACATGCTCAGAATACCTTTTCTGTGAAATTCTTTTCTTCAAGCTACATTCCACACGGGCACGGTACGGTGAGGCCAGCAGAGCTTTGAGGAGCGGAACGCATACTTCGGGTAGGTTCTTAATTATATCCACATCTGCCATGTTGAAACCCACAGCGGACGGCTCGTGCACCACCGTGGCAGTCAGCTCAAAAAATACAGAGCTGAAAATATCTTCTTCCAGAAGCTGTTAACAGTGAGGGAAAGTACCTTAGGTTAAAAACAAGCAAGTGGGGATGGAGAAAGAAAACAAAAAAACAAATCAGTCTCACATTGCAAAAGTCCTGGCCCCCCTTGACTAGGACCATGGTCGTAAACTCCAGCAGGCGTACAATGATTGTGCATTTGCTGTAGTTGTACTGCTCCACCTCGATCGGACTGAAGTGAGCGTTCGTCTGGCCGCGATGGAAGCAGCTCTCTGCTGCGCTCAGCTCTTG